AAAAGGTAGAGTTGTAAGTCGACCGTATAAGCTGCACTAATTGACCTCACTACATTATGAATATAATTACCTCACATTTAAATAGTAGCAAGCGAATCATTTTGAAGGTAAGTGTCTCGCTACCCTAAACTAAATTTCTGTCGTTAACTCTTGTCCAAAAATCCTATCACAAATCCTAAACGTAATCCTAACAAAAAAAAACCACAAAAAAAAACAACAACTCAATACTAAACTGTATTGCCTATACGGAGATTGTATAAGTACATACATGTGAACCAGTCGCAAGGTTTCCTAATACATCAACATAAAATTTTGAATGGGAACCACCCTTAATATTAACTAACAAACAATTTCAATGTAGATTTTTAATGTGAACCACCCTTAATATTAACGAACAAACAACTTCAATGTAGATTTTTAATGTGAACCACCCTTAATATTACCCAATACAGCTACTATAATGTAGACTTTATGATTAGAACCACCCTTTGTGCTTGATTAATTTTGTGCACTCAAATCTCGCTCAGCTAGCCAATTTTCGGCACCTAGACCTAACCCTACAATGGCCTACATGCGCAGAAACTCTGCCGCCCACAAATCAGATTTTTTTTTCTACGGAAACGGAAGTTCATCGAGACTGCTGTAGCAACAATAATATTGATGTTGGGATTTTTATTTTTATTTTTGCAACATAACAAAGTATCCCCCCCCCCTCTCCCCGACTTTCTAGAGAAGAAAAGAAGCAGAAAGCAATATATTTCGTTGATGGTATACACTCCGCCCCGTCCCCCTTTTTATTACATGAGATTTCAAAATTGTGCAATCACTTGAGAGCCAAGGAGTCTTGTAACATAATGCGACGTGGAGGGGTGGGGGGCGGGGGGGGGGGTATGTTAAACAATATTCTTACAGTGACGTAAAACTGAAATTTTGTTTTACCATTGTTAAGCGACTTTATTATAGAATTGGGAGTGGCGGTGGCTATGACAATGAATATATTTTTATAGTGTCGTAAAATTTAGATTTTGTTTTGGCATTGTTAAGCGATCATTATAGAAGGGGGAGAGGGGAGGGGGCTATACAGTGACGTATATTTCAGATTTTGTTTTACTATTGTTAATGGTGGGCGGAGTGGGGGCGGGGGGGGGGGGGGGGTTGTGACAAAGAATTTTCTTACAGTGACGTAAAATTAAGATTTTGTTATACCATTGTTAAGCGACTTCATTATAGAATGGGTTTAAGGGGTGGGGTGGGGGTGGGAGTTGTGACAAACATCTTACATTGGTTAGAGTTAAGTTGTACCATCTTTCCAGTGGTTAGCGATGTTACTCTAGAATGTAGGCCTGTTATTTTATGATGTTGCACAAACGGGGCCACCATGTATAAAACGTTGCATCCTACAATATAACATATAACGATATATCATCCTTCAATATACCATCTTACTGTATACTATCGTACAAGATACCCGCCTATATCAAACTAAGTTATACCATATTGCGATGTACCATCTTCCGATGGAGTAATCTTCTAAAATCAATCACAACTCCACAAAGTATCATACTACTATGTACGATCTTGTAGTATAGGGTTACCAGCTCAAGATGTAATATCCTACAATATACAACCATATTGTGTGCCATACTAATGTGTACAGTCTGATAATGTACCATCCTTCAATGCACCACCCAGACTACCATCTTGTAATATAACAGCTTACGATGTAGTATCCTACAGTACACCATGCTTAGATGTGTACACACTACAATCTATAATATACCACTTTACTATGTACCATCCTGAAATAATCTACCATCTTGTTATATACCAACTTTCGATGTAATAACCTACACTGTACCATCCTACAATATACTACCCTACAATATACCACTCCCTAACATAGCATCGTAAGAAATACAATCTCACAATATACCATCTTCCAACATACCATTTAATGATGTACCATCCTAAGTCGTCGTAACGCCTCACTACTATGTATCGTAGACTAAACACGAAAGAAAGTGACGTTAATCTGAAGCTAATCTCACCAAATCTCGCCCATTTGTTTATTGACCTACATCCGGGCCATCGCATGGAGCTTCCTGGACAGTACCGTAACCAGCCAATTAGTCTTTTCTCGACCCATTTAATCAGTGATCCAATTGGGGTCAGGTAATGTGACGTATGCATTGATGCTCCCAGGCTACTGATCAATGGGATCTCGGCGGTTCTCGTCTTCGTGATCTCGGCACCACAATAAACGCTGTTGTTTACGTATGTTTACGTATGTCAGTGATTCCAGTATTGGGGACATTATAACAACCACTATTGTTTTTTATTTTATTTAAGACAACAAATTTGTTTATTACAGTATACTTTCTAACTGATGAGTATAAATAGCATTTTTAAAAACCTTGAAATTTTATACAATTTTCAATTTTACTTCCGATTTTCCAGGTGCATTAAAATTCTTAATTCTGATTCATAGTGGGTTTTTACTTTCTCGTATATACGAAGTATAGAGAAAGTATTGTAATCGTGCACAAAAATCACTTGAAATTTTAACTATTTTCACCGTATTACACCTCAGTCCTTCATCACATCCGAAGTATAGAGGACTTATTTTAATCGGGCAAAAATTATCAATCCAGATTTATCAAAATTAAAAGGTTTTATGCGTATTCCAGTCTGAAAAACTGGGCTTTGCAATTCTGTCCGTATGTCTGTGTGTCTGTGTGTGTGTGTGTCCGTGTGTAAACACGATAACTTGAGTACCGTTACAGCTAGGTTGATGAAATTTCATATATAAGTATTTTATCAAAATCGTAGATCCGTATCAACTTTTGAGCGATTTCGGATAACCGGAAGTGGTACTTTTTCTACTTTGAATTTTTCAAAAGCCTATAACTTGAGTACTATTTCAGATAGATAAATGAAATTTGATATGTAAGTAAAAGATCTAATTCTCTACCTTCTGTCAAATTTTGAGAATTTTTCGTTGACCGGAAGTAGTAATTTACGCTACTTCCGATTTCTCAAAAAACTAATGTAAATTTTAAAAGTACTAATAATATTGCGCACTATTATGCGCTTTTTTATTCGCGTTCACTTGGTGTGCAATTAATTTGTCTACGAGATTTTATTCTATTTTTAAAACTTTAAGTATTTAAAATGGATTAAAAATCATGTCTATAGCCCGAGTTCCCATCCCCTGTTATTTTATATAAGAATATTCGAGAAAGTTTAGGGGAGATCACTCCCGGTTTATTTTTTAACATGGTCTTAAAGAATAGTTTTTATTGTTTTATGGCCCGTTTTATGCCGGTGCACATATTCGCTATATATAGCATGATTTCAAGAAAGGCGAAGGTTAGTGTAGTGTTTGTAAAAAAGATTTAGGACAATATTTTCTAAAACATTGAAATAAACTACTTTTATGAAATTAAAAAACGCATACATTAATAAGAAAAAATTTCCCACATGCTATGTGCGTTATGCCGTATTAGTCAGAAGTGAAAAAAATACTTAACATTTTATTTATTATTAGATATCAATAAAAAATAACCCTTACAGGTGTGTAAGAATCAACAACAACAACTGGGATCTGTCTACTCTCACAGCCAGTGTTTCTTCCAGACTTTTTTCTCCGGGGGGGGGGGGGGGCACTTGAAATTTTCGGGGGACGGTAGACTTTCTTCGGGGGGCGGGGGGCGGACACTGTTAAAAGTATATATTTTCTATATATTTTCTATATAAATTATATATATTTCATTTCGTTCGGGGGGGGGGGGGGGGGGGGGGGGGCGGTAACAATTTTTTGGAAGAGATGCCTGGAAGAAACTCTGCTCACAGCGATCACTGGTCTAGTTCACTGACATACCGGTGGGCGGTCGGCAGAGGGTTAATTAGTAATGAGGTTTTATTTTTGCTTGATTCGATTCATTGAATGAAATGACTAGACCTCTCACTGTTTGTAATTGTGTGTGCAAGCGGGATCAGGGTAGCGGGAGAGGGGTGGGGGAGGTATGTAAAAATATAGTGCCACATAAAATAAGATCGGGGAGGGAAAGTTAAGTATATGAGATGAGCGAGGCGAGTGTGTGCTTGAGTTGGGGCGGGGGGGGGGTTGTTTAAGTATATATGAGGCAAGTGTGTGAGGGGAGTATATGAGGCAAGTGTGTGAGGGGAGTATATGAGGCAATTGTGTGAGGGGAGTATATGAGGCAAGTGTGTGAGGGGAGTATATGAGATGAGAGAGGCAAGTGTGTGAGGGGAGTATATGAGGCAAGTGTGTGAGGGGAGTATATGAGGCAAGTGTGTGAGGGGATCATATGAGATGAGAGAGGCGAGTGTGTGAGGGGAGTATATGAGATGAGAGAGGCAAGTGTGTGAGGGGAGTATATGAGGCAAGTGTGTGAGGGGAGTATATGAGAATAGTCTGTACTTTTGGGGAATGTAGAGAAGTAATCACATACTTCAGTTGTCAAGGCACGATAATCGCCCCCCCTCCCCCAGGGGGTAGACAGCACCCCCTAGTTACACCACCGCCCTCCATCTGTTACTTACGCTGTGTCAGTGAGAAATGATTTCTATAATTCCAAAACTCCTATACCTTAGACTTTACCATACCATAACCCACATACCCTAAAGTTTACCATACGATACCTCATGAACCCTAAACTTTACCATACTATACCTCCCATACCCTAAACTTTACCATACCATACCCCACATACCCTAAACTTTACTAAACCATACCTCCCATACCCTAAACTTTACCATACCATACCTCACATACCCTAAACTTTACCATACCATACCCTCATTCCCTAAACTTTACTAAACCATACCTCCCATACCCTAAACTTTACCATACCATACCTCACATACCCTAAACTTTACCATACCATATCCAACATACCCTAAACTTTACCCTACCTCACATACCCTAAACTTTACGTTCACCATCACGCCTAAATTGTTCCCCTCTATTCCAGACTATGCCTGATCACGCGACGTGTTTGGTCCAATCAGCTACGTTGATCCTCGTGACCCTCCTGGCGCTGGTGCCCCGACCATGTGATGGCTCCTGTGAGGTCCGCTGTGAACGCTCCATCCCCCTGCTGACCAAGTTACGGAGCCACTGGTCCCGTTCATTCAAGCGCTTCGGTGAACAACGTAAGTCGGGTGTGGGGGTGTGTGGTGGGTATGTGGTGGGTGTGTGGTATGTGGTGGGGAGATGTGTGGGTAAGTGGTGTATATGTGGGGGTATGTGATGGGTATGTGGTGGGTGTGTGGTATGTGGTGGGGAGATGTGTGGGTGCGTGGTGGGTATGTGGGGGTATGTGATGGGTATGTAATAGGTATGTGGTGTGTGTGTGGTGGGTATGTGGTGGGTGTGTGGTATGTGGTGGGGAGATGTGTGGGTGTGTGGTAAGTGGTGGGTGTGTGGTGGGTATGTGGAGGGTGGGTATTAGGTGTGTATGTGATGGGTATGTGGTGGGTATTAGGTGTGTATGTGGTGGGTATGGGGTGGGTATGTGGTGTGTATGTGATGGGTATGGGGTGGGTATGTGGTGTGTATGTGGTGGGTATGGGGTGGGTATGTGGTGTGTATGTGGTGGGTATGGGGTGGGTGGGTATTAGGTGTGTATGTGGTGGGTATGGGGTGGGTATGTGGTGTGTATGTGGTGGGTATGGGGTGGGTATGTGGTGGGTATGTGGTGTGTATGTGGTGTGTATGGGGTGGGTATGGGGTGTGTATGTGGTGGGTATGGGGTGGGTGGGTATTAGGTGTGTATATGGTGGGTATGTGATGGGTATGTGGTGTGTATGTGGTGTGGTGGGTATGTGGTGGGTGTGTGGTATGTGGTGGGGAGATGTGTGGGTGTGTGGTAAGTGGTGGGTGTGTGGTGGGTATCTGGTGGGTATGTGTTGTGTATGTGGTGGGTATGTGGTGTGTATGTGGTGGGTATGGGGTGGGTATGGGGTGTGTATGTGGTGGGTATGGGGTGGGTGGGTATTAGGTGTGTATATGGTGGGTATGTGATGGGTATGTGGTGTGTATGTGGTGTGTGGTGGGTATGTGGTGGGTGTGTGGTATGTGGTGGGGAGATGTGTGGGTGTGTGGTAAGTGGTGGGTGTGTGGTGGGTATGTGGTGGGTATGTGTTGTGTATGTGGTGGGTATGGGGTGGGTGGGTATTAGGTGTGTATGTGGTGGGTATGGGGTGGGTGGGTATTAGGTGGGTATGTGGTGGGTATGTGGTGTGTATGTGGTGTGTATGTGGTGTGTATGTGGTGGGTATGGGGTGGGTGGGTATTAGGTGTGTATGTGGTGGGTATGTGGTGGGTATGGGGTGGGTATGTGGTGTGTATGTGGTGGGCATGTGGTGGGTATGTGGTGGGTATGTGGTGGGTATGTGGTGGGTATGTGGTGGGTATGTTTTATGTGGTGTGTATGTGGTGTGTTTGTGGTGTGTTTTGTGTGTGGTTGGTGTGGTATTATGGGGTTTGTATGTAGTGGGTATCTGGTGGGTATGCGGTGTGTGTGTGGTGGGTATGTGGTGGGTGGGTATTAGGTGTGTATGTGGTGGGTGTGTGGTGGGTAGGTGGTGGGTATGTGGTGTGTATGTGGTGTGTATGTGGTGGGTATGTGGTGGGTATGTGGTGGGTATGTGGTGTGTATGTGGTGGGTATGTGGTGGGTATGTGGTGGGTATGTGGTGTGTGTGTCGTGAGTGTGGTGGGTGTGGTGTGTAGGTGGTGGGTATGTGGTGGGTATATGGAGGTATGGGGAGGGTTAGTGGTGGGTATATGTGTGTGTATGTGGTGAATATGTGGTTTCTATGTGCAAGAGACATATGTGGTAGGCCAAACTGGACGGTAAGATAGCACGTCACGATAGCAGTGTTTACCACACCTTATCCCCAATACTAAGTCGATTGCCCCCCCCCCTCTTGACGAATTAAAAATAGATACAATCTATTTAGAGAATATATACTTAATCTATTTCTTGTTCCTCCTTTGAATAATGATATAAAATAAATAAAAAAAATAAAAATAAGGATATTGAAATATTTCCCAACACTCCCCTACAGTATCCATGGCACCATTCGAGGCACATCTCTCTCACCCACGCGTATCCCCACCCCAAACCTTCTACCCCACCTGAACCCCCCTCCCCTTCTCCTGTCAGAGAAACTACGTACAACATTTGTTTGTGTATTGATTAACACAAATACAATTACTCCCCACCCACTTTCACCCTCCTACCCTCCCCCACCCCCACCCCCACCCCCAATCCTTACCGACGACCAACCAAACCACCATTCATTCAGCTCTATTCCATTTCTCCAGCAACCAAACCTTAAAATTGGTTCTTGCAACATCATTAAAATAGCACTAAATATGTTGATAAATCTTGGACTAGCTGCATTATCCGCGCTCGCATTTCCTCATTTCTTGACGGAATGAAAATATCCCATAATTCTCCAATGTTTGTAGTCTCGTCTAATGGTCATAAATCCGTTATTGAGGAGATGGAATTGTCAAAAGTTATCAATAAAAATAGCATTTTAAGAGAAAACGATAAAAAAAATCCGCATCGTTTTTCATTACTCAATTTAAAAATAAAATAAAACTACGGTGTCCGAATTTTTTCATACCACTTAAAAAACAACTTTCAATATTTTATTTACATTATCAAAGAATGCTGATTACTTTATTCCATTCCAAAGAAAGACACCCCCCCATATAAATTACCACCCACCGATATTCCCGATATGAATGACCCCCCCCCCCCAACACACACACTTTTTCGATTATCCCTCCTTATATATTTGTCCTGGGTGGAGGGCCTAACCTTGTTCTCCCCTCCAATAATTTGAATCTCGATTAAAGTCATAAGAACGGCCCATAGTCCATTCAGCTCTGCTGGGTCCTAACTCACGTAAGGGAAAGTAAAGGCGGCTGGACATTGTGCTGACTACACGATTCCTTCAATAGGGTTGGTAAGTAGGTCACCAACCAGTTCTATGGCTCATGCAGGTTTTATTGAGTCGTAGAACTGGTTGGTGACCTACTTACCTGCCCTACCGAGGTCACAGAAACAAGTGAAATATATTTCACTTGCCCCATGGACTGTCGGATTCGAAAAAAAAAGGAACATTACTTCTTCACCCTCCCTAAATGTTGACTGCGCGCTCGAATCTGTTTCAATACTTTTAGTTTTAAAAAAAAAAGTGAACTTTATAAAAGCACTATTTTTCATTGTCGAAAAAAATATATTATCGACACTTACATTGCGAAACCTGTCAATGCCCCATCTTCAAATTGGAACTTCAAAAAAAAAAAAAAAGAAAAAAACCACACCAAGTTTTTAAAGTTAAAAAAAAAAACTTTGGCCGATTCTAGTCGGAAAAAGATACGCATGTCCAATTGAGAGAAACTAACGCCTTCATTCACGGCGATGTTTTCGATGGTACTGCGCATGTGTGTGTTTACAAACAAACCCTAACCCTAACCCCAACCCTAACCCTAACCCTAGCCCTAACCCTAGCGCAGCTATTAAGGTCATTGCGCACTTTTTCCGAGTAGTCTCTTCGAAAAACGTTTTCCCACATGAAGTGTGAAATTGTCTTGTCAATAATATCTCTGTGTGTCTCCCCCCCCCACCTTCCCCACGACAGGTGTGTCTTTCGAGCAGTTTCTGTTGTCCTTGGTGCAGACCTCAGCGTCGGACGACCAAAAAATGAACAACCTCCGCTTCAACATATTATACAACATCGGACGGTACCAGGACTGTGTCATGGCCTGCGAGCACCAGTTCAGTAAAAGAGATGGACGGTGGAGCGGCCGAAGTCCGTACGGCTATTCTCTTTTTCTGTAAGTTATACGAGGTGTAGGGGATGGTGTGGTCGGGTGGTAGAGCGCATGAGTACCAAAGATAAATGACGTATGAGAGAGTGTGTATGGGAGGTGAGCTTTCGACTGCTAGTTTGAAAGTTCGTGTGAGTTTCATCGGAAGGCGTGGTCCGTAAGTCTTCTCTGAGTACACTCAGCTCTGATGAGTACCTGACTTTCCGAGAGAGAAAATAAAGGCCGGTAAACATAGAACTGATTCCAACGAAGCCGAGGTCACGTATATAGATTAACTCAGCGGCGTAGCTGCCGTAAAGCTAACATAAGCCAGGCATAGGCGCCCAAGGAAAAACAAGGCCAAATGAGACATGGAGGTGTACGGTGGGGAAGCAGCTGGCAGAGGCAGGACTGTCATGTCAGCCTCGTGTGTCTAGGGCACAAAAGGGAAAGATGGTGATGTGTAGGACGAAATATACATATTATCTATCTATCTATATACTACTAAAAGTCAAGTTTGTTTACATGTTTGAATATTTATTTGTTTGTTTGCCTGATTGACTATTGTGATATGTTCGACTCTATCTGGAAAGCTGTAAAATAGTATGCAGGTAGAGAATAATTTTTTAATGCAGACAGACTGTTGATCACAAATTTATTTAAAGACGTTAATTAATTTATTGATTTATTCATAGTTAAATTAACCGTATTTTTTTAAAAATGTTAATACTTTGAATAAACTTTGTGGGGATAGTGACGTCCCTTGATGTGTTTACATTTTTGGTACAATAAAAATGGCGGACCCCATCATAGACTTTGTGGCCCATTCAAAAGTTTAACGCGTTACAAAGCTAATTTTCTGCCGGCTATAACTTAAACAATACGTCCTTTTGCTGTATTTATTACGTTCCAACACTTATATCAATTTTCAACTGTCTTTTTCATTTAGTTTTACGATAAATTTCTCTAGATCTAAAGATCAGCTATCGAAGGAAATTTATGAATCTAGCCTAGATCTAGATCTAGATCTAGCCTAGATGTAGGTCACTAGATTCAATGTAAATTCTACATCTAGAATCTATTTTAGGCCTTAATTATTTTATATAAATCTTTGTTTGGCTTATTTAAGATAAAATTTAATTTGAAAGTTAGTACTACTAGACTTATTTTTAGATCTAGATCTAGAATCTATACGCGTAAATCAAGTTGCATAAGGAGACACATAGTATAGTATAAAAATTCACTTGTGACGTCACGAGTAAATAGCTAAAATGGTAGCGTAGTCAGCTCTCATGCAGGAGGCACGGGTTCTAGACCAATATGTCAATGAAATTTTTTTTTTCAATTTTTTTTTTTAGATGTGAATGATAACGTTGCCTATCTGAACTTGGCAAGATACAGGGCAGGTGAAGTAGAGTTCATCTGTTTCTTTGTCCTAAGCATATGAAAGGATAGTGTGGTCAGATACATGCTCGGCTGGAATTGTTTTTTAAACGATAAAAACATGTTGTCTGAGACTTGGCAGGACACTGGGCAGGTGAAGTAGAGTTGAGTAGGTCACCTGTGACGTCAGTTTATAAAGGGATAGTCCGAAATCGGTGTTTTCGGTGTTTTTAAAAGATAAAAAACATATATTTGAATGTGGGGTCTGTTTTTTGTGACGATAAGTGACACTGCAGTAGCGTACCGAGGAGGGGGGGGGGACGGTAGGGGAGGGGAGGCGGGGGGTGGGGAGGGGAGGCGGGGGGGGGGGGGGGGAAGGGGAGGCGGGGGGTGGGGAGGTGGAGGGGGGAAGGGGGGGGACATATGTTGGGGCGCCAAAATGGTTTGGAAAAATAAATTGATAGGTTGAGGGGGGTTCAAATCGAAAGTTTGAGTGGGGGGGGGGGGGGTGCACATCAAAAGTTTGAGGGGGGGGGGGGGGTTCAAATCGAAAACTTTGTCCCCGGGCGCCGGGAAGGGTCGCTATGCCTCTGAGTGACAGACGTGATGTTTTTTGATGGATGACCCCCGAAACCCACAGTTATCCAAGGGATGACGGGTAGTCTAGTATACTACTAAAAGTCAAGTTTGTTTACATGTTTGAATATTTATTTGTTTGCCTGATCGAAAATTGTGATATGTTCGACTCTATCTGGAAAGCTGTAAAATGGTATGCAGGTAGAGAATAATTTTTTAATGCAGACAGACTGTTGATCACAAATTTATTTAAAGACGTTAATTAATTTATTGATTTATTCCTACGCAGAATAACCCATTTTTTTTTAAATGTTAAAACCTTGACTAAACTTTGTGGGAATAGTGACGTCACAGGTTTTTGTTTACTCTTTAGTACAATAAAATGGCGGCGTCTATTGAAGAAAATTGTGTTCCCATTCAAAAGTTTAACGCGTTCTAAATCTAATTTTCTGTCGGTCATAACTTTAACAATACGTCCGTTTGCTGTATTTATTACGTTCCAACACTTATATCAATTTTCAACTGTCTTTTTCATTTAGTTTTACGATAAATTTCTCTAGATCTAAAGATCAGCTATCGAAGGAAATTTATGAATCTAGCCTAGATCTAGATCTAGCCTAGATGTAGGTCACTAGATTCAATGTAAATTCTACATCTAGAATCTATTTCAGGCCTTAATTATTTTATATAAATCTTTGTTTGGCTTATTTAAGATAAAATTTAATTTGAAAGTTAGTACTACTAGACTTATTTTTAGATCTAGATCTAGAATCTATACGCGTAAATCAAGTTGCATAAGGAGACACATAGTATAGTATAAAATTCACTTGTGACGTCACGAGTAAATAGCTAAAATGGTAGCGTAGTCAGCTCTCATGCAGGAGGCACGGGTTCTAGACCAATATGTCAATGAAATTTTTTTTTTCAATTTTTTTTTTTAGATGTGAATGATAACGTTGCCTATCTGAACTTGGCAAGATACAGGGCAGGTGAAGTAGAGTTCATCTGTTTCTTTGTCCTAAGCATATGAAAGGATAGTGTGGTCAGATACATGCTCGGCTGGAATTGTTTTTTAAACGATAAAAACATGTTGTCTGAGACTTGGCAGGACACTGGGCAGGTGAAGTAGAGTTGAGTAGGTCACCTGTGACGTCAGTTTATGAAGGGATAGTCCGAAATCGGTGTTTTCGGTGTTTTTAAAAGATAAAAAACATATATTTGAATGTGGGGTCTGTTTTTTGTGACGATAAGTGACACTGCAGTAGCGTACCGAGGAGGGGGGGGGACGGTAGGGGAGGGGAGGCGGGGGGTGGGGAGGGGAGGCGGGGGGTGGGGAGGGGAGGCGGGGGGGGAAAGGGGGGGTGGGGAGGTGGAGGGGGGAAGGGGGGGGGACATATGTTGGGACACCAAAATGGTTTGGAAAAATAAATTGATAGGTTGAGGGGGGTTCAAATCGAAAGTTTGAGTGGGGGGGGGGGGGTGCACATCAAAAGTTTGAGGGGGGGGGGGGGGGTTCAAATCGAAAACTTTGTCCCCGGGCGCCGGGAAGGGTCGCTATGCCTCTGAGTGACAGACGTGATGTTTTTTGATGGATGACCCCCGAAACCCACAGTTATCCAACGGATGACGGGTATTCTAGTTTATTATTTAAAATCCCTCCCTCATAAGTAGTAGTCGATTTCTTCGCTGCCTTTGTTTAACCCGTTTGTAGCCCAACGGTTGAAGAAGTGCCCACACAAAATGTTTGCATTGGTACCGGAAAATTCTAGCTACGCCACTGGATGAACTCTACTTCATCCTTCCCTTGGAAAGAATATCCTACATATAATAAATTATATTTTGTAAAAATTGTATGTAGGCAATTTTTTTTTACTGCTGGTAACTATGTTATGGTCAAGGTAAAATTGAGTTTAATTTCTGGTTAGTTAACTGAGGAAAGGCGTAGGTTCAGGATTAGGGTTATAAAGAGGGCTATGGTAAGTGTTAGTCCTGGAATAAAGGCCGGATGTATTAGCGATAACTGCAATAAAATAGTTTCGAAAACGTCCTCCTCACGATATTTTGAGAAAACCTCCCAATCTATGTTGTCTCCTAATTCAGAGTTTAAAATTATTACAAGTTTAAAATATTATTATATAAATTCGTGGCCTAGCGGTATGGCACACGACTTCTAACCTGTAAGTCTCGAGTTCGTATCCGGGTTCAACACTGTAAAACGATGATGATGAATATATATATATATATATATTAATAAGGATTTTTTTCTTGCTTTAAACCTGTAACTATGAAATTTGTGACATTGATTTCGCTTATACACTCACGAGAAAATACATTTTGTAAAATTGTATCTTTTGTATAATATTTTTAAAAGGAAATTACTACATTTATATGAAAGCTAAAACAGTGTGTACCTCAGGAAGAAAATACAAGACCGTATTTATTAGATTTAAATACCAGATATTGTCGATATTGAAATAATTTATTTATATTGCTTAAAGTTAATCCTTTTGAAAAATGTTGATGATTTTAAAATATTGTGAATGATTTAACAATATTTTCTATGATTTAAAAAGTTTTCTGTGTTTGTAAGATAAACTCTATGATTTAAAAATATTTTCTATGATTTAAAATATTCTATTTTTTAAAATAATTTTCTATGATTTAAGAATATTTTCTATGATTTAAGAATATTTTCTATGATTTAAAGCTATTTCTATGATTTAAATATATTGTCCATGATTTAAAAAAAAATTCTATGGTTTAAAAATATTTTCTATGATTTAAAAATATTTAGAATATTTTCAATGATTTAAAAATATTAAAAATAGTTTCTATGATTTAAAATATTTTATTATGGTTGAAACATATTCAAAATATTTCCAATGATTTAACATATTTAAAATCATTGGAAATATTTTAAATCATTGAAAATATTTTAAATCATTGAAAAAAAAATTCAATGATTTCTATAGGCTAATTTAAAACTATTTTCAGTTATTTTTAATACTTTCAATAATTTAAAACCCTTTTGTTTGCAGGCCAAAAGTTTCCGCATCCACCAGTCGGTCCCTGTTCTTTCACCCGCCATTGTACACCCAGAACGGCAGAGACCTAAGTCAGGTGACCTGAGATCAGCCAATAAAAATATTGTTCCGTCCCTTCCACAGGATACGGCGGCCATCATGAATTGTAAAATCGGCTGCTGTGAGCTGGCGTTATAAAAAAATTGGATGGGATCCGGCGCAGGGTTAAATAAATATTCATTTCCTTTTTCCTTTACTTTGTCTTCATTTCTTATTTAAAAGGTGTACAATAGCTGAAAGAATGAACGAATGAGAGTCACAGAGAAATCAGAAGGTTGCTAACAATGTATTTCATCAATGAAAGTTAACAAATTAAAAAAAGGTACCCTTTTGAACCTGACGACTAAAGGGGCTGGTGAAGTAGATATCACCTGTTTCAGTGACCTTGGGATCAGTGGCGTAGCAAGGTCGGGTGTCACCCGGTGCGGCACTTAATGGTGCCCCCCCCCCCAGAGGCATAGAGACCCTTCCCAGGGACAAACTTTCAAATTTTCGATTTGCACCCCCCCCCCCTCAAACTTTCGATTTGCACCCCCCCTCGAGTTTTTCTCTATATATTTTGCTATTTTTTGCCTTGGTGTCACCCCCCTAAAATGGTGTCACCCGGTGCGGTCCGCACCCCCGTCCCCCCCCCCCATCGCTACGCCCCTGCTTGGGATATGTGTGTGGTCAGTGCTATGCTCAGACGCCTTTACTTTCTCTGACGTAAGTCAGCGACGTTTATTCGAACTCGAGACTTAGGAGTTAGCAGTCGTACGCTCTACCACCCGATCACACCGTGAAATTCAGCACGTTCAAATGTTATTAATGTATAAATTCAACAAGTTCAAATGCTACTTTAGAAATTCAACAAGTTTAAATGCTTCTACTGTATGCCAACAGATGATTCACATTAGGCTACAATTAAAAGTCAAATAAAATGAAGTTTATGTTTATGCAATGACAAGATGACAGGTCTCTAAGAAAAATACAGCTACGACTATAACTCATATAACGAAGCTAATCCCACCATAAGCCTATATCGTTATTTTTTTGCCTTGAGAGACGATGGAAGCACCCACGTACCGCAGGGCATGCACCAGTCTGGTAGGATACTATGTGGGCACAGTGTTTCTGCCAGACATTTTTCTCCGAGGGGGCACTTGATATTTTCGGGGGGGGGGGGGGGGGCAGTCTACATTTTCCAGGGGGGGGGGGCGGACACTAGTAAAAGTATATGTTTACTATTTAAATTCCTTCTCGTTCGAGGAGGGGGGGGGGGAGATGCCTGGAAGAAAATCTGTCTGGACATTGGATGAAGAGATAGTTTGCCTTTGTGTTGTGACCCCTCTAGTCCTTTGTTTGTATAGTTCAAAAGAGTGCCAAATCATACTTTGGTACAAACTTCTGTCGCAGTATAATATATATATATATATATATATATATATATATATATATATATATATATATATATATATATATATATATATATATATATATATAAAGAAAAAGAAAACGCCACTAAAGGTTCATAACCGACGCAATATTGGCTTCCATTGACACACATGCAAGTGAACTATTAATGGATTGTAAAAAAAAAACCATTCGCATGAAAATTGATTGAATGATGATGTTGAAATGTCATTCATTTTTGTAATAATGGCGATGTAGGAATCAGATCTAATTTAACTTTCCCCTTTTAACAACAACGAGTGGATTTAAAGTGCTTTCCTTGGAAATCCACGAGAATTAAGCTCATTTTAAGCGTTGTTATAAGACTCAACTCACTTTTTACTTTCTCGTATATACGAAGTATAGAGAAAGTATTGTAATCGTGCAAAAAAAAAAAAAAATAATGAGGTTTTTGCAAATCTCGACGTTTTACACCTCCCTGAGTCGGAAAAACATAGTTTTGCAATCGTGTCCGTATGTCTGTGTGTGTGTGTGTGTGTATGTCTGTAAACACGATAACTTGAGTACTTGATGAAATTTCATATACAAGTATATATCTAAATCGTAGATCCGTATCAACTTTTGAGCGATTTCCGAAAACCGGAAGTGGAACTTTTTCTACTTTCAAATTTTTCAAAAGCATATAACTTGAGTACTATTTCAGATAGATAAATGAAATTTCACATGTAAGTAAAAGATCTAATTCTCTGCCTTCTTTAAATTTTTGAGTAATTTTCACTATTTCCGATTTCTCAAAAAAATTATTAAGTACTTATAATATTCCGCACTGTTATGCACATTTTATTTGGCGTTCACTTGGTGTGCAGTTCTTTTTTCTACGAGATTCTATTCTATTTTTAAAAGTTTAAGTAATTAAAAATGGATTAAAAATCATGTCTATATCCCGAGTTGCCATCCCCTGTTGTTTTATGTAAGAACTAGGCATGCTGCCCAGCTTCGCTTAGGCTTTCGAAAACATTGAGAATTTGAATGCTTAATTAATTCGCCCGAGGGTCGGTCTACGACCTCAAGAGTTATGAAGAGGTTCCTCCGTGGACATTTTTTTTTTTTCGATTTATAGCTCATATAAGGTACCGGTCAGTCGAGGTCAGTTTTGACCCCCTCATCGTAGACTTTTCGGCCAACCGGCCCCCGTGCTCTGTCGCCCCAAGGCAAGATCCTGCCAAATTTGAAGCGCCTACGGCGCCGGGAAGTGCCTTATCGGACACCCGACAATCTAGATCTAGATCTAGAATCCTAAATGAATTTTTTTTTTAAGTTTAGTCCGAGCAAAATAAAAAAAAAATGCATTAACCAAGTTGACTTGGTGAATCTCGAACCCGCACCACCTGCGTGGTTTATAGTACACTAACATCTCCGCTATTTAGGGACCTTATAAAATACAGAGAATGAAAGACGTATTTTAAAATCTTAACTTACGCGAATATGCCTATTCTTTCAAATTAATTTTTTTATCCCAAATTAGCCAGTTCCAAACAAAGATTTTGTATAAATAAATGTTATGAGTTTAGGCCGGAAAAATTGTATTGTATACATTTCATAGTGTACGTAGATCTAAATCAAATTTGAATGAAATAGTTCATTTCTTTTTTATTCTAAACACGGCAGATGACGTCATTAGTAAGCAATAGTGTCGTCACAGTTTTATGCGTTCTTTTACACATCTATTAATGCTTTTCCGGTTGCATAAATAATACTGTTTCTCTACATTCGAATACGCCTTGATTTTATATTTTTCTTCTTGAAATAAAATTGTGGTTATACATTTAAAACATCTAACATATTATTTTCAACAAAAGTCCGTATAAAGTTCTCCATATATTGCTGCCGTTTCTGACGTGATGTCCGGCGAAAATTTTTTGCGGACAGAGAGAGAGAGAGAGAGAGAGAGATGTGCGAACTTGGCCCATTATAGTATTAGATATTCGAGAAAGTTTAGGGGAGATCACTCCCGGTTTATTTCTAATGCAACCATATAAGAAGAGTCCCTGCTGCGTGGATATATTTTACCTTTAGTACCCTAACATAGATACAACCAAATTTATAAAAAAGGGTTATTAATTAAAAGGTTGGGGTTTTTTTTTTCGCTTTTTCCCCCGAAGCCTCAACCCCTTCCCCTTAATACTTAAGAGGTTGAAACAGAGGCGTAGCGACCCTTCCCGGCGCCCGGGGACAAACTTTTCGATTTGCACCCCCCCCCCTCAAACTTTCGATTTGCACCACCCCCCTCAAACTTTCGATTTGCACCCCCCTCAACCTTTCAATTTATTTTTCCAACCCATTTTGGCGTCCCCTAAGGTCGGCGCCCGCGGACATATGTCCCCCCCCCCCTCGCTACGCTACTGGGTTGAAATGTAGGTAGGACAAAATGTGCTACATGTTGACTATATGGCGAGCTGACAAACTGGAGCACAGTCTGTTTTGGTAAAATTTAAGTCATTAAATAGATTAGTACATGGGTCACGTGAACAGTCATGTGAGCGTAGTGAATAAGTCACGTGATTAGAAAAAAACTATTGGCACTTAAGTTAACATGATATTCAGGCACTTGAGTTTGCTAAATGGATGTCATTCAGGCACTATATCTTGAATAATGGACATGACATCCATACGTTATATCTTATATGATAAACATGACGTTTAGGCGAGTTCATCCATGAACATGACATGCAGATACTTACGTTCGCTGAATGGACATGACATTCAGACGCTATATCTTGAAGAATGGACATGGCATCTAAACGAGTTTATAAATGGAGATGACATGTAGATATTTAAGTTCGCTGAATGGATATGACATTTAAACGAGTTCATAAATGGACATGACATCTAAACGAGTTTATAAATGGACATGACATGTGGATATTTAAGTTCGCTAAATGGACATGACATTTAAACGAGTTCATAAATGGACATGACATGTGGATATTTAAGTTCGCTAAATGGACATGACATTTAAACGAGTTCATAAATGGACATGACATGTGGATATTTAAGTTCGCTAAATGGACATGACATTTAAACGAGTTCATAAATGGACATGACATGTGGATATTTAAGTTCGCTAAATGGACATGACATTTAAACGAGTTCATAAATGGACATGACATGTGGATATTTAAGTTCGCTGAATGGACATGACATTTAGTTACAATGTTTCAGTGAATGGACATTGAATTGAATGCGCATGACCGCCAGACAAGATCGGTGAATGAAACATCCGATACCACGTGACACAGCCGTCATTGAGTGAAGCTTAATCTGCGCTCTTCTATCGATTCGCTCCACTTATTCTCTGACCTTAACGTTTCATAAATTTTACCATCAGTTACTCTATTCTTATCATTCATTCAAAAAATCTCATCTTTTTCGAATTGTTTTTGTTTTGCTAATTGCATTACTCTTATGTTATGATAGGCTGAAGGAGAAATCAAGTAGATTTATTATAGTGAGGTGGTGGGGGAAGGTGGGGTTGAGTGTGTGGATGTTAAACTTTAAGGTTGAAAGAGGGTGTGTAAGTTTAAGGAGTAAATGTGTGGTTGTGTGTGTCAGGAGGAAATGTGTGGTTTTGTGTGTGAGGAGAAAATGTGTTGTTGTGTATGAGTAAATGTGTGGATGTGTGAGGAAGAAATGTGTGGTAGTGTGAGGAGAAAATGTGTTTGTGTTGTTGTGTATGAGTAAATGTGTGGATGTGTGAGGAGGAAATGTGTGGTAGTGTGAGGGGGAAATGTGGTTGTGTGTGAGGAGGAAATGTGGTTGTGTGTGAGGAGGAAATGTGTGGTAGTGTGCGGGGGAAATGTGGGTGTGTGTGAGGAGGAAATGTGTGGTAGTGTGAGGGGGAAATGTGGTTGTGTGTGAGGAGGAAATGTGTGGTAGTGTGAGGGGGAAATGTGGTTGTGTGTGAGGGGGAAATGTGGTTGTGTGTGAGGAGGAAATGTGTGGTAGTGTGAGGGGGAAATGTGGTTGTGTGTGAGGAGGAAATGTGGTTGTGTGTGAGGAGGAAATGTGGTTGTGTGTGAGGAGGAAATGTGTGGTAGTGTGAGGGGGAAATGTGGTTGTGTGTGAGGAGGAAATGTGGTTGTGTGTGAGGAGGAAATGTGTGGTAGTGTGAGGGGGAAATGTGGTTGTGTGAGAGTGAGGGGTGTGGTTGTGTGAGGAGGAAATGTGTGGGTGTGTGAGTATAAGAATGAAAATTTGTGGATGTGTGTGAGTAAATGTGGTTGTGTGAGTGTGAGGAGGAAATGTGTGGTTGTGTATGAGTAAATGTGTGGTTGTGTGAGGCTGTAAAAGGTGGTGTTTCTATCACTTAATTTTCACAATGAACATCGAACTGTTAGTGATAAAACCACACCACATAACAAACACAACACACTACTAACACAACACACCACCAACACAACACTTCAAACTAATCAAAGATTATTTATTAGACAAGGATAACATGAAATAAAACATCAAGTATGATGGTACACTTCATTACATCATCAAATATTTTGGTATAGTTCAACATAAATTTTTTTTGGTTCACTAGAAACTTGAAGTATAAATTGACTGCATAGGTGTATGACTGACTAGAACATGTATGTACCCTGAAGGTAAACAAAAACCCATCATAGAAATTTAATTTGGCCTTTTTTTTAAGGGGAGAAAACTCTTTGACTATGTTAGCAACTGTTGATGTTTGAATGTTTTTTGTTTTTTTTTTGGTGGCACAAAATTATCAAGATTAAAAAAAACATTTAGAGTAATTAATAGAATTAAGTATAATTAAGAAGAGAATAATATTCACCAGTTTTCATCATAGAAATTAGATGTAAATTAGAAAATCTGTATTATTAAATAAAAAGTAAAAATGTTATTTAACTAAAATGACATTAACTAAATATATAAAGAAAAACAATAACCATGAAAAAAAAACAATTATTTACCCTATTTTTTTTCATGACATATGCTAACAGATGACTCAACTTAAATAAATAATGCTGATACATTTAATTTTTGATTTAACGAAAACTTTTGTTAACACAAAAAGTAAAAACTTTTTTTTTTCAGCAATAACTTCTAAATAAAACTTATATTTAAATTCTTGTTGCCGGCTTATCATTTAGTTTTACTAGTTTAAACTAACAAATACTGAGGTGTATCACATACAGAGTTGCTTCCAGGCATCTCTTCGGGGGGGCTTAGCCCCCCCCCCCCCCCCCCCCCCCCCCCGAAAAAATTTTTACCGCCCCCCCCCCCGAACGAAATGAAATTTATATAGAAAATATATACTTTTAACAGTGTACGCCCCCCTGAAGAAAGTTTACCGCCCCCCCCCCCCCCCGAAGATTTCAAGTGCCCCCCCCCCCCGGAGAAAAAAGTCTGGAAGAAACACTGATCACATAAATAAGTAAAAAAATCTTTTTGGTGTTTGAATGTAAGGGCAGGGAGTGACTAAGGTATAGATAAGTTGAACAAACAAAAATATACATCACAACATTATATAACACATGCAAAGCAAAAGGAAAACAAGCAACCCTATGTGATACACTCCTTTAAGATTTCTAGCAAAGAATAAACTCATTTTAAAAAGTATATTTTATATTCAAGTTGGTATGCTAAACAAACCACTGCAAAAGAAAGCTTGTAACAACTGAAGCTAAAAGAGAACATACACGTCTAATCTCTCCACATGAACAATTCAGTGTGAATGCACCACATCACACAGGGGACATCACATGGCACACAATGGAATGCAGACTAATCAACAAAACAAACAATAATAAATTTGGCAGCTTAAATAAATGATGTGATATTTTGGTCTTTGAGATTTCATAAACGAAAAAATTAGATTGCGCCTTAGTTGTAAACTTTTTTAACAAAGGCACTGCGAAAAAAAAAGTGACATTACCTCATTGAAGATAAGGAGTGGTTGGAGTAATAAAATTAGGTAAGTATCAAAGCCATTGAGAAAATATCCTCATCAGTTATACAGCAGGTCTTTGATGAAATTCACTATGTGAGCACATTAAGTCTATGAATCCAGAAGTTGAGTGTGTGGTCAGACACACTGACCAGATACAGCAGACATGGCTTTATTGTATTCTGACACATGTAAACATTCAAGTGTGTCCTGACACATGTAAACTTTCAAGTGTGTCCTGACACATGTAAACTTTCAAGTGTGTCCTGACACATGTAAACTTTCAAGTGTGTCCTGACACATGTAAACTTTCAAGTGTGTCCTGACACATGTAAACTTTCAAGTGTGTCCTGACACATGTAAACTTTCAAGTGTGTCCTGACACATGTAAACTTTCAAGTGTGTCCTGACACATGTAAACTTTCAAGTGTGTCCTGACACATGTAAACTTTCAAGTGTGTCCCGACACATGTAAACTTTCAAGTGTGTCCTGACACATGTAAACTTTCAAGTGTGTCCAGACACATGTAAACTTTCAAGTGTGTCCTGACACATGTAAACTTTCAAGTGTGTCCTGACACATGTAAACTTTCAAGTGTGTCCAGACACATGTAAACTTTCAAGTGTGTCCTCACACATGTAAACTTTCAAGTGTGTCCTGACACATGTAAACTTTCAAGTGTGTCCTCACACATGTAAACTTTCAAGTGTGTCCTGACACATGTAAACTTTCAAGTGTGTCCTCACACATGTAAACTTTCAAGTGTGTCCTGACACATGTAAACTTTCAAGTGTGTCCTCACACATGTAAACTTTCAAGTGTGTCCTGACACATGTAAACTTTCAAGTGTGTCCTCACACATGTAAACTTTCAAGTGTGTCCTGACACATGTAAACTTTCAAGTGTGTCCTGACACATGTAAACTTTCAAGTGTGTCCTGACGCTTGTAAACTTTCAAGTGTGTCCTCACACATGTAAACTTTCAAGTGTGTCCTGACACATGTAAACTTTCAAGTGTGTCCTGACACATGTAAACTTTCAAGTGTGTCCTGACGCTTGTAAACTTTCAAGTGTGTCCTCACACATGTAAACTTTCAAGTGTGTCCTGACACATGTAAACTTTCAAGTGTGTCCTGACACATGTAAACTTTCAAGTGTGTCCTGACACATGTAAACTTTCAAGTGTGTCCTGACACATGTAAACTTTCAAGTGTGTGCAGGTTTTTAATTAAGTCCTGACTGGTCAACTGACTTACATACCAATGAAACCTCCAGTTAATTTCTCTAAATAGTAAATTTCATCTCTCCAGTGATGGTTACTTTACACATAAACAAAACAAAAATTACTGTACCCATGAAATATTAATTTCTCTGACACATGCTAATTACATTTTTTAAAATATAATATTTTTTTATATACATAACTGATTGGTTAAAATGTATGCAGCACATTGCAATTACTAGATTTAAAACCAGTTACCTGAAAGCCAGTTCAAATTTACAGGCAAAATAGAGTGGGCGATTACAGAAAAAGAAGCCTTTAAATATTTCCTAGCAAAGAGGCTTGGCTAATAGAAGCAAGTCAGAAATCAGGTGTTTATTAGAAATGTATGTATTCTAGTTGTATAGAAGAAAACTTAAATTAAAAAAATCAATTATGAACAATAAATGCACTGTATACTGATCAATTCAACACAGTATTTATAACATACAACATTCATTTACAAGTAACGCTGAGATAGAAGACAACAGGGGAGAGAACTGTAAAGGGAGTTAATATTTCATAGTATGTAGTTTAATACAACATTAACTGGAGTCTGTAGATAAAAAAAACATCAATTATTTAATAGGGTATATTTTTTAAAACAGACACGTGCTAATAGTATGACACCAAATATCACATCATTTAAAGAGTGAATGCAAGTTATTTGAAAATCATATTTGAAAGATAGCAATTGCAGTAAAGTGAAAAAACTGCCTGTTTCATTAAAAAAACTTGATCCACATTTTAACTATACACCTATGGTACTTAGTGTTGACAGGTGACTCATTTCATTTTGCAAAGGAGGAAAAACTCCGCTTGCTTGACTTATCCTTCCTTACAGTACTCTAATAAAAAAAAACATTTCAACAGAGATAAATATTACAATAGGTTTAACATTCTACAGTCACAAAAATCTGGCACATAAGGTTTGAGAAATTTTCACATTAAAATTAAGCGTATAACAAGAATAATTCTATTGCCTTGTACAATTTTTCTTTAAAAATTGTTTGTGCTTGTACAGATTTATTTATATAATTTTTAAAAATGGTGTAAAATTTGATAAAACATTTGACAATATTAAATGAACAGAAAATCAGCATTTAGACGTACTATTAGCTTTTCTACTACCCTCATCGACTGCCAATATTTAAACTTACAGGCAAAAAACTGCGGCAGACAAATTATCTAGTGTGTGCTTAATTAAGGTAGGTAATATAACCAACAGAAGAACATTAAGCTTACATAGTAGGCTATAGACTGTCTTAACATTAAATGCTCAATAACAACAAATGTAAGCTACATATACAGAATGTCTTAACTAACATCCAGATGTCAGAACATAATATAATGTCTTAACAAACATCCAAATGTCAGCTATATAGACTGACATTGTTTTCTTTATAACAAATCCATTTATTTCATGAAAAGAGTGAAAAAAAACAACATTTAACATCACATTTTAGATAATTGAACAGTTTAGAAAATTGATCCTTCTAATGAGGAATGGTAGGTATATATTTAGACAATTTACCATTAAGAGGGTTTAAGTATAAATATTTGGACTGTTAAATAAATGTAATGTGTGAATGTTTGTTGTTTTCCATCCTAAGAATGTGTTTTGATGTATCAAAGCTGCAGCTTAAAGAAAATGAAATGCAATATTTTTTTTTTAAAAAGTACTTTTTTCTTTTGTAAACATGGTAATTAAGGGATGGGATGCATTATCATTTAAAAAAAACATAATAAAAAATAATTACAAAAAAAAACCGACAGTATAATTATTTGACACTAAGGCTATTGGATAAACTTTGCTGCTTACAATCAAATAAGAAAACAGAGCTCTTCAGGATCACAAGACAGATTCCAACCAATCACAAAAAAAGGAAACAACTTCCTGTTTTCACACAACAATGACAATCTTTGTCAGTACTGAAATGTACATCAACTTCCTGACAAAAAACCTCTTCAGCCAAATAACAGGATACCTTAAGCTGTGATGATCCAGTCATCTATTTACTGTTTCCCATAAAGCCGAGGATGATGATAAAGATGTAGACGATGTCGATGTACAGCTGCAGGGCTCCGTAGATGTATTCCTCGGCGGAGAGTTCGTATTTACGTCCACCCATCACCTGCTGTGTGTCGTATATCAGGAACTGAAACAACACAAAAACAATTACGGCTTTAGAACAACAAAAATGTACACAGCTCAATAGCTCTTTAGGGGACAGAGTGGTCTAGCAGTAGAGAGCTGGACTGCTAATCTGTAAGTCTCGTCTTCGAATCCTGGTTCAAGTCAGTAAACTCATGTTAGGGAAAGTAAAGGTGGCTGGGCATAGTGCTGACCACACTATCTCTTCAGATGCTGAGGCCACAGAAACAAGTGAACTCTAATTCACTTGCCCTATAGACCGTCAGGCTTAAAAGGGAACTTTACTTTTTTACAATAGCTCTTTAAGTCATAGCCTCACAAATTAGGCATTGAGCTGACCACACAGTCTACCTGACAATAACAGGAGAACTCTGTGTTATCTGCCCCAATGACCATCAGGGTAAAAAGGAATTTTATTTTATATATTTAACTGCAGAATATATGCCATAATATATTTAACTGCAAAATATATACCATGATATATTTAATTGCAGAATAAAATACCATAATATATTTAACCCTGGAATATTTTCCAATATTATATTTAACTGCAGAATGTATACCATAAATTTTTTGAAATTAAACAATATTAAAAAAAGAAACCCACCAATCCAAAAACAAGTGCAGCTAACCCTCCATACACACAGTTCATGATCTGAAATAAAAAGAATGAAAATTTAAGTGGTGTGAGGACCAATGACTATGTGCCCATATCCACATTATCAATAGTAAAATGCTCAGGGATATTCAAAGAACACAAGCTAATCAAAGAACCTACATGACTATAACCCCAGGCATAGTAGGTGATCAAGCAGGCCCAACCAAAGAAGAAGAGAACCATGACAAGTGCAAACAGCAATCCACTGCACATTGTGAAATCAATCTGGAAAAACAAAACAATTCTTGTATGAAATAGTTCAATATTGATAGATACTAAGAAAAAAATGTATAATTAGTCATTTATTTTTGACAAAATACATAAATACTAAATTATACTTGATATAACACATGAAAAGAAGTCAAATACATATAGGCTTCATAACGCACTAGACTAAAAATAGACACGACACATACTACTCTATGACACGCAAACACCTGGTTAACCATACCTTGGTCTGGATGGCAAATAGTGAGATGGCCAGACATACAGCAGCAGTGATCCCTGCAGCCATCAGTACAATGCCAGTATCATGGAAACTACAGGAGGTTAAAAGAAACATTAACATCAGTACAATATCATGGAAACTACAGGAGGTTAAAGTTTACATCAGTACAATACCAGTATCATGGAAACTAGAGGGGGTTAAAGTTTACATCAGTACAATACCAGTATCATGGAAACTAGAGGAAGTTGAAGTTTACATCAGTACAATACCAGTATCATGGAAACTAGAGGGGGTTAAAGTTTACATCAGTACAATACCAGTATCATGGAAACTACAGGAGGTTAAAGTTTACATCAGTACAATACCAGTATCATGGAAACTAGAGGGGGTTAAAGTTTACATCAGTACAATACCAGTATCATGGAAACTACAGGAGGTTAAAGTTTACATCAGTACAATACCAGTATCATGGAAACTAGAGGGGGTTAAAGTTTACATCAGTACAATACCAGTATCATGGAAACTAGAGGGGGTTAAAGTTTACATCAGTACAATATCATGGAAACTACAGGAAGTTAAAGTTTACATCAGTACAATACCAGTATCATGGAAACTAGAGGGGGTTAAAGTTTACATCAGTACAATACCAGTATCATGGAAACTACAGGAGGTTAAAGTTTACATCAGTACAATACCAGTATCATGGAAACTAGAGGGGGTTAAAGTTTACATCAGTACAATACCAGTATCATGGAAACTAGAGGGGGTTAAAGTTTACATCAGTACAATACCAGTATCATGGAAACTACAGGAAGTTAAAGTTTACATCAGTACAATATCATGGAAACTACAGGAGGTTAAAGTTTACATCAGTACAATACCAGTATCATGGAAACTAGAGGGGGTTAAAGTTTACATCAGTACAATACCAGTATCATGGAAACTAGAGGGGGTTAAAGTTTACATCAGTACAATACCAGTATCATGGAAACTACAGGAAGTTAAAGTTTACATCAGTACAATATCATGGAAACTACAGGAGGTTAAAGTTTACATCAGTACAATACCAGTATCATGGAAACTAGAGGGGGTTAAAGTTTACATCAGTACAATACCAGTATCATGGAAACTACAGGAAGTTAAAGTTTACATCAGTACAATACCAATATCATGGAAACTACAGGAGGTTAAAGTTTACATCAGTACAATACCAGTATCATGGAAACTAGAGGGGGTTAAAGTTTACATCAGTACAATACCAGTATCATGGAAACTACAGGAAGTTAAAGTTTACATCAGTACAATACCAGTATCATGGAAACTAGAGGAAGTTAAAGTTTACATCAGTACAATACCAGTATCATGGAAACTACAGGAAGTTAAAGTTTACATCAGTACAATACCAGTATCATGGAAACTAGAGGAAGTTAAAGTTTACATCAGTACAATACCAGTATCATGGAAACTAGAGGAAGTTAAAGTTTACATCAGTACAATACCAGTATCATGGAAACTAGAGGGGGTTAAAGTTTACATCAGTACAATACCAGTATCATGGAAACTACAGGAAGTTAAAGTTTACATCAGTACAATACCAGTATCATGGAAACTACAGGAAGTTAAAGTTTACATCAGTACAATACTAGTATCATGGAAACTAGAGGGGGTTAAAGTTTACATCAGTACAATACCAGTATCATGGAAACTACAGGAAGTTAAAGTTTACATCAGTACAATACCAGTATCATGGAAACTAGAGGAAGTTAAAGTTTACATCAGTACAATACCAGTATCATGGAAACTAGAGGAAGTTAAAGTTTACATCAGTACAATACCAGTATCATGGAAACTAGAGGGGGTTAAAGTTTACATCAGTACAATACCAGTATCATGGAAACTACAGGAAGTTAAAGTTTACATCAGTACAATACCAGTATCATGGAAACTACAGGAAGTTAAAGTTTACATCAGTACAATACCAGTATCATGGAAACTAGAGGGGGTTAAAGTTTACATCAGTACAATACCAGTATCATGGAAACTACAGGAGGTTAAAGTTTACATCAGTACAATACCAATATCATGGAAGTTTACATCAGTACAATACCAGTATCATGGAAACTAGAGGGGGTTAAAGTTTACATCAGTACAATACCAGTATCATGGAAACTAGAGGAAGTTAAAGTTTACATCAGTACAATACCAGTATCATGGAAACTAGAGGAAGTTAAAGTTTACATCAGTACAATACCAGTATCATGGAAACTAGAGGGGGTTAAAGTTTACATCAGTACAATACCAGTATCATGGAAACTAGAGGGGGTTAAAGTTTACATCAGTACAATACCAGTATCATGGAAACTAGAGGAAGTTGAAGTTTACATCAGTACAATACCAGTATCATGGAAACTACAGGAGGTTAAAGTTTACATCAGTACAATACCAGTATCATGGAAACTAGAGGAAGTTAAAGTTTACATCAGTACAATACCAGTATCATGGAAACTACAGGAAGTTAAAGTTTACATCAGTACAATACCAGTATCATGGAAACTACAGGAGGTTAAAGGAAGCATTAAGCAATGGAACAATACAATCATTTTAATTTATTTTAAAAATTGGACTAAATGTGTAAATTCTAAGATTACTATACAAAATAAAAAAAAAACAACTGATGAACTTAAAATGGCGACCAGTGTTATATGAATACAGCGAGATCTTAACATGGATAGACAGACTTGATGCCAACCAGTTATAGACAGATACCTTTAGTCAGACAAAAGTCTGCTGGGTTTATGCTGTCCACACAATATATTATTAAACTGTTGCCATGGTAACAAACTCTACTTGGTCTGCCCTGATGGTACCCAGATCAGAGAAACTGGATTTATTTAAATTTAACTTCAAAACATCCAGGTATAAAAACATCAGTCTTAATGTAGAAGTACTGATGACACCAATATATTTCTATTAGAGATTTTAAATTACACATGAACTAACCTGCTAATGGTGGCAGTCAAGTAGGAAAAAGCCAGCGTCTGAAAAGTAAATAGTTATCATGATGAACATTATTTGAAATAACTAATTTAATTGTTAACTTGTAAAATGAAAACAACATAAAACAAAATTAGAAACTACACAAACTGAAAACATTAGAAACTTACAAAGAGCCCTAGGCAGATGAAATTTCCAGGATAATTTTTCCTTAAAAAAAAAGGAATCAACTCAAATTTAATTAAACATTTCAATATGAACAATATATTAATTACCTTTTACAGCCCCTAGCACTAACTTATCAATGTTCCTTCTCTCACCCTTTGTTAAATTCAAATTTTGTATTAGCTTACCCCCTTGCTGATCACAGGGTTACTAATTATAAACGCTATAAGAAGTTGTGAGAGCTGACTACAGTGCCAATTTTTAAATAAAAAATTTCTAACATTTTAAAATAGCTTGAAATCAAAACTTTTTTACAAGAATGCATCATTGTCTAGTCATGCTGGTTGAATGTAACATTTTAGGCACATTTTCTACAAAATCATAAGTTTGACTAGACTTAGATAATTTAGTAAAGTAAGTAAAGTTCCCTTTCAAACCTGACGGTCTATAGGGCAAGTGAAGTAGAGTTCACTTGTTTCTGTGACCTCGGCATATGAAGAGATAGTGTGGTCAGCACTATGCCCAGCCGCCTTTACTTTCCTAACTTGAGTTAGGTACACTTCAGAGTTGGGTGGGACTCAGGACCGGTCTACTGACTTGAACCAGGATTCGAACTCAAGACAGATAATTTACTAGGCATTAAATTTTCAGTATTTAACTGAATGGGGTCTCTTTATATCTAGGTGTCAATATAACTTAAAAAACAGCCTGGCTGGGTATACTTGACACAGCTAGTGCTACTTATATGAATGTAGATGCTGAGCACAATAAGATATTTATTGTTGCTAATTAATTCTGGTAGCACATTTAATTCACACATTTCCTACACCATCGCCCTATTGAATTTCTTTAGTTGTTCCAATAAAAATACAGTATTTTGTTTACCCCAACAATATTTGTGTACATAGCAAAATAATCTCAGATAGAAAATAATGTGGTGGGGGAATAGTTATCAAAAGTAGGTGGGGGCTGTAAGGTTAAATTTAAAACATGAAAACTATTTGCCTTTTAAGAAATATAATTTTTTAGTACTGCCTAAATTTATTTGAAAAAAATAATTTTTAAGTATTAAGAAAACACAATATAATTTAATAACCAAATCTTGTCTGCTTTATATTGGCTGATGTTTGGAAAGTTTAAAAATCAAGGAATTATATAAAACTTAAATGTTTCAGCCTACCCTCAAAAAATAAAAAGTAATAACGTTTTCATTCTTCTTTTGTCTTATATTTATAACTAAGTTGGTGTTATCTGTACAATTATATTTTTGGCATCTATGGTCATTAAATAGAAAACTACTATTGGGTATGAATTAGTTCTGATTAACAAATATTGCAATAACTCAGCCATTCAATATGAATTTGATCAATGAATGAAATCTATATAGGAAACCTGTACAGTAGAGCAAACTGTGTCGTACTGATGACTCACCTCACACTTGGGCAGCAGATCAAAACAAAGTACAGCACCAGGAAGAGAACACTGCAAGACACAGAGAACATTGATTTTCTGGTAACCATAGCGACACACTTGACAACATCAAAGAAACAGACATTTAAATCTCAAACTGGTAACCATAGCAACACACTTGACAACATCAAAGAAAAAAAACATTTAAATCTCAAACTGTTGACTATAGTAGCACACTTTACAACATAACAGAAACATACAATTTAATAAATCTCAAAGTGGTAACCATAGCGACACACTTTACATCACAGAAACATACAATTTAATCTCTAACTGGTGACCATAGCGACACACTTTACAACATCACAGAAACATACAATTAAATATATTTCTGATCCAGATGCTACTAGGTTGAGGAGATAAGCTAGAACAATGAACCCCACAACTTCTTATACAATTATCATACACCATTCAAGGCCTTCCAAACCTTATCTATGTCTGATGTAACAAAGATGAATTTAATTTCAAGAAATTGTATAAATGAATACAATTTATTTCAGTAAGGAAAAACAACACTAAATTAAGAAGTAACTAAGTGGCATTGAATGTTCTACACTAAACCAGAAAGTTTTATCTGAAAAGTAAACGAATAGGATGCATACAAATCTCAATGCTCTACTTACTATGCACAGATGTAGAACCACATGTTATTTTGTACCCATTTTTTTATTGGCTCACTGTGGATAAAATATTATTGTAATTATTAAACTTTGAAAATATTAAAAGTGTACATTTTAAATTTGGGCAATGAATAGCATTTTTTGTTTATGTATAAATTATAGTGTATACATTGGTTTTAAATATTTTTTTTCCCTTGAGAAATATATAGAGGCCTAAGCAGGTACACAAATGTAAACAGACAAATGTATTTACACAAATAACAAATATAAATAGACAAATGCACTTACACAAATATAAAGACACAAATGTACACACAAATATAAATAGACAAATGCACACACAAATATAAATAGACAAATGCACTTACACAAATGTAAAAAGACAAATGCACTTACACAAATGTAAAAAGACAAATGTACTTACATAAATATAAAAAGACAAATGTACTTACACAAATATAAAGAGACAAATCCATGTTCACAAATATAAATAGAAAAATGCACTTACACAATAAAGAGAGACAAAAGTACTTACACAAATATAAATAGACTTACACAAATATAAATAGACAAATGTACTTACACAAATATAAATAGACAAATGTACTTACACAAATATAAATAGACAAATGAAGAGTTTATTTTCAAAATGCAATATATCCAAAATTTTAGTTTTGAGAAAATCGCATTTTTCTCCTACACAAAGCTATTGTACAATATGCTAAAACTGTTTTTCAAAAATAGAAATAAAATGAAAATTTTGCGCGGTGAAGATTAAAATTAAGTTTTCCTAATAGTAATTGAGTAGCTTTACAATATGGGCACGGTATCTCATTTTTTTTTCAAAAATGGCGCTTACCGCGTTTTGAAAATAAACTCTTCAAATGTACTTACACAAATATAAATAGACAAATGTACTTACACAAATATAAATAGACAAATGTACTTACACAAATATAAATAGACAAATGTACTTACACAAATATAAATAGACAAATGTACTTACACAAATATAAATAGACAAATGTACTTACACAAATATAAATGTATTTACACAAATATAAATGTACTTACACAAATATAAATGTACTTACACAAATATAAATGTACTTACACAAATATAAATAGACAAATGAAGCCAAAGGTAACCAACAGCTGAGTGAACAGGATGAGATAAACCTGAAGATTTTAAAGTAGAAAAATAATACTCATGTGTTAAGTGTAAAAATTTAAGGTCAGATTCAATCAACTTTAAATTATTTTCTTGCACCATTATTCAGTTTGTTAAAACAACACAATAACACAATATCAGCACACAAAACCCAATAAAATGCTTGACCTTATTTAAATATTTTCTAAAGATTAAAAAAAAAATCAAAAGCACTTGTGTTAAATGAAATTCATACACAACAAGAACAAGACTACTTTTTTACCTCTTCCCCGGTGACAACAAACCTACACTGAAACGTCACATTCTTGCGTACCGCGTCACCATCCAATGCGTTCATTATCTTTCGCACTAATATTCGTTTGCACTAACATTCCCTCTTTGAACACACATCATAACAGTATCCAAACAATAAAGCTGACCATCACCTTTACAACACTATCAGAAAAAAACTTGGTATGATAATATTTCACCCTGTAACTATTTTACATATACTTTATAAACCTACCTTCCGAATAAATCCCCTGCGTATAGCTTTGTCAGAAAACGCAGAAGAGAAACCATCGGATGCTTTGGGTACAGCTAGTGCAGCTTCTCCGCTACCATCCGGGTGGTTGTACGCAGCCGGCTGATTAAACCCGTCATTGTACATAGGCTGGTTGTAACCTTGGTTGTAGGGATCATGCTGGGCAAAGCCAATGCCTGGCTGTTGTGGGTAAGTGGCATTTGCAGATGGGTATGCTGCGCCCGCAGGTGGGTAGGAAGCACCTGAAATTTACATGTATTAACACAGGCAAAATTAACATTAACAATGGATGTTATTTAAAAAAAATGTTTCGTTGTTGTTTACAATATTAATAAAATAATGTCGAATGTTATAATCATACAATTAAAGAATCCTTTAATATATTAATGATAACAATAATAAAACTAATAAAAATAATGTGATCTTTTATAACAAATAATAAAATGTTACATATAAATAAATATATTTAGCATAGTATAATTATTATATTTATTTTGTAATCAGCTGAAATACTCTATTTACTTAATAAAAAAAGTGTAAACAATAGACAATGTAAATACAATGTACCTGGCCCTTCATTTTTGTTGGGCCCAGTAGGATAACCCATGGCCATTCCATAACTTGGGGGCTGGTTAGACATTCTTAAGGCGAGTTAGTTGAATAATGAGCACTGAAAGGTAATGAAAATATATATTTAAAAAATTTGAACAATCAACATTCATTTGGTAGAAATGTGCACTTATAGAATTAATGATGAAGTATCAACATATTTTGTATGTAGAAATGCCCATTAATAGAATTTAACCTATCAACACACATTTAAAGCCTGTATTAAAAAAAAAATGAATACATATTGGAAATCATCTCAATATATAAGGCAATCTTCTGCATGATGTATTGTGAATATACCTGATATGTAGATCGCCAATAATAACACATAAAACCCTCATCAGAAGTGTGATTACTTAAAAATCTATTTCTCTCAAAGAGCTGTACCAACAAGCCAACAACTGTTTACGGGGATATGCGCGGGAAAAAATCATAAAATTTCTTGTTTTTCGTCATGATGGGTTTCTTGCACTTTTGGATACTTTGTCCATTTTTGTATAAAGAAAATAATAATTTTAAAGAGAAAAAAAATATTTTATGTGTTTGAATTACGATTTTTATGACCCTATTAATTAAAAAATAATCAATTTTTCCCAATCTTACAAGCTCTCTATGAAAAGTTTTATATCCGTCATTATATTGTATTTAACATCATTGGAAAGCTGGATTTCTCATGTATTTAATAAACTTAATTTCCTACATCTCAGAAACACCTAAAACTTACAATCGGCTTTACAGTTTACACAGATATAGTACTTTCCTGACCTAGTTTTCGTTACTTTTGGCTGTTTTTCTCAGTTCGCAGGTTTTTAACACTAAAAAGCCTACTACTTTTTTATTTATGAAACAATTCCAACCATATTTTCAGTAAATGTTCTTGATGCGAAAATACAACTTTTGTCACGAGGGAATTGTGATTGCTTTCATAGAAAAAAAGTTTTTGGTAATTAATATGCACATTTTGAAACTTTTGAACACTAAAAAGGGTACGATTTTTTAGACCTTGTAAAATTCTTACTAGTAATTATTTCAAATAGTTGTCGTGACAAAAGTTTTAATATATACTGAAATATAAGCAGTTTAAATTTGATTGCTATAGGTGCATAAATAAAAAAGCCTTAGTATTTTTAAAAGTACTGAAAAATTCACAATGGCGGAGGTTTTTTGGGTTTCCATGACAACCAAAATTGTTTTCGACCTTTTTTTTTGCTGTTTAATACTTACTTTTATATGCCAAATATGATAAAAGTATTCAAAATGCTTTAGATCTTAAACTGTAAAAAATAGAAAAAAACATAGCATATCCCCTTAAGTAATTTATGATCAAATATAATAAAGGCATATACCAGAAAAATATGAAACAAACTTTATGATTCTATTTGCCAAGTGGAGAAGGCCTAAGTATTGTTAACAGCGAAATCCATTAAATATTAAACATGGAACATTCTTATCCAAAGCCATAAAGGTGTTACAATAGGTAATCTTTAATCTATCATTTTAGCGTAATCAATTCGGCTGCAGTAGTAATGTGCAGGAGAGGTAACTGATGAATATATTTGTTTAAATAAGTATAGTTAAGTCAAATTTTACAATATATAACAGATAATTGATTTACAATAACAATACATAAAACAAACAATTTAAAATATCATGAAACTAACTTTAAACAGGGGCGGAACTACAGTGCCGCCAGACCCCGCAATGCGGGGGGGCCCAGACCAATTGGGGGCCCAAAAATCCTGGCTAAATTATTTAAAAAAAAAAAAATTAGGTGGAGGTCGAGTTATCTTTCTTTTACAGTTACAAACAAACACGATAGTCGGCAAACGTCTTTGAGAAAAATGCACTGACTATAGCTCGAGAGATCGCCAGACATATAGACAACTTTAAAGACGAAGCATCTGAAATTTGACTGTGCCGGTACGCTTTGAAATCGGGCTGGGGAAATGTTGCGGCGAGGCGACTATCCTGGTCTTCTAGACCAGGGGTCTCCAAACTACGGCCCGCGGGCCGGATGCGGCCCGCGAGGTCCTCTCATCCGGCCCGCGGAGATCTTTGTATCCAAAGAAAAAATTGTTTGTTGGAGGTGGCTGAGGAACTTAGCCCAGAAAATTCAAAACAATTTGGAAATGTAGCTTTAGGTGTAAATAGCATTGCCCGACAATGCAGACATTGGTGAAAACATTGTGACTCCAACATTCTACAACCAATGCTCCTACACTGTATTATCCACCAGCGAGATTTGTGTGCTTAATCTGTTGACACAAGAAGTGTACTGAATCCTGTGGTGAAGATGGTGAATTTTAATAGGCCACATGGGCTTAACCATAGATATTTACCAACACACAGCAGTTAGATGGCTAAGTTACGATAAAGTTCTGAGCTAGTTTTTAAGTTAAGAAAAGAAATAGGTGACTTCCTGCAAAGTAAAGGCAAGCCACAGCCATTAATGCCTGATGAAGAGTGGGTATAGAAATTAGCCTCTGCTGCAGACAAAACTAGTCATTTGAATTGTTTTAACCTTAAACTACAAGAGAGGGAAATGTAGTTTCTCATCTATACACCCACCTAAAAAACTTCAGATCCAAATTTATCTGTTTTTGGAACAAATACAGGCCAGCAACTTAACGCACTTTCAGCAGTGCAAAGACCTCATGCTGCATTTTTAATAGCGGTTTTCTGACTTGGATTCTAAGGCAGAAGAAGTGAGACTGTTTCAGAACCCATTTGATGCAAATGTGGCCTGTTGCAAAGATGAACTGCAGCTGGAGATCATTAGAGACCCGTTCACAGAAGGGCGGATGTGTTTTTATAAGTTTTTGCCCAAGGAAGACTTTCCTAATATTTAAAGTTCTGCATCATAAGTACCTTTTAAATTTTGTAACAACATACCTGTGTGAACAAACATTTTCAAGACTGAAATACGCGAAGAATAATTTGAGAGCAAACTTGGTCCTAGAGTGTGTTGTCGTATATATTTCTATATATTTCTAAATATTTCTATATAAATTATATTTCGTTGTGGGGGGGGGGGGGGGGGGGGTAGACGTGCTTGGGGGGGGGGGGGGGGGGTCCACCACACTGAAAATATGCCTTGAAGAAATTCTGGCCCCCGAACTAATATTTGATAGTTAATGCGGCCCTCGGGCTGAAAAGTTTGGAGACCCCTGTTCTAGACGATCGGAAAAAGTCGGCACTATTGATGTAGATGTTTATCGGCGCTCTTGTCCCCTTCCCTTCCCAACTCTCTCCCCCCCTCCCCCCTACCCCTCACTTCTACCCCTCACCACACCCTTACTCTTACAATAAGATGTAATGCATAGATTAACGAACCGTCTATGAACTGTAAACTGACCACTTCTGCACATTTTGTTAAAGACACTAGTCAGTAGTTGTTCATTTACCTGATGAACAGGGGCGGAACTACAGTCCCGCCAGACCCCGCAATGCGCGGGGGGGGGGGGAGGCCGTTTAGGGGCCCACGGCTGACCAAAATTATTTTTTTTTAATTTTGAATTTAATTTTTGCCTTAATATTTGGTTTGTAAAAGAAAAACACTGTAGCTGCGGTACGATTATCTTTATTTTACAGTCACTATACCACGCTCTTCCGCAAAAGATAAAATCCATTACACAAACTACAGTGTAAAATATAGGCAACTCTTCAAATTTTGAATGACTTCTTTGACTCGTTGCCCCCCCCCCCCCTCCCTTTGATAGCTAAATAGAGGACACGTAACTGTTTGACTGATCCTCCAAAGTATACTGTGGCGGATGGGGCAGGGAATGGGGACCAAAAAGGGGGTTAAAAAATTGTCGACAAATTCTTTACATATTTAAAACAGTTATTTATAGTTGTATTTTTTAACCATCGTCAAGGCCGAGTTCTATTTCCCTACAATCAAACACACGCTGTCGCCGGCAAAATTCTTTTTAAAAAAACAACAAAGTCCATAGCACGAAAAGCCGCTACATATGAAGTGGGCTTGCAATACTTTCATGATGCGCTGTTCTTATTTGCGGCATTGGTAGGGGACCCGAAATCCATTGTACATTTTTCAATGTTAATATGTGTTTGTGATAGTGGTTGAATTTGTATCCTGTACTATCTTGTATCGTACAAATAATTTTAAAAAAATTATATAATACTAGAAACTTCAGTTTTATATACGTTTACTTGTTTTTGATTTTACAAGAAATATAGTAAACTTTTAAGGCCTATACTTCAAATTATCTCCCCTGCGTAAGTTTTACAATGGGCGATGCTGACATACATAGATCAAGGCGTTTTGTTGTCCCTTTCAAGTTTTTTCCCGAGCCGACCCCTATCCCATCCCTCTTTCTCAACCTCACAAGTATCGAGGAGATAAATGTATCGTTTATGAACTACTTCCTAATCGTACGATTCACCACTTCAGCACATTTTGTCAGACACTAGACAGCACTAGATCTAGTCAACACATATTAATTTACTTTCATAGTATTAGGCACATCTAATTCACAAAACAGGACAGGTAAGATTATTTTTTATATAATTATTTAGAAATTAATTAGAACGTTTAGAATTAATTGAACATTATTAATAGTCATTGAGGTGGGGGTGTGTGAGGGTCAGGCTTTTTGTTAATCCCCCCCTCCCCTAAATCAGAAGGTTATCCAACGCGTGACCTGGCCACATACAGCTGTACATGTGAAAAACATTTTTCTCTCTATTATTATTATGCATTACTGCATCATTCACCCAATCGCCATGAAAACTTGGGAAGCTGTTGAGTACAGCCCTGCAAAGGTTTCTGTCATAGGCCTAACATTTGTACATATCTGAGTGGGGACTCCTAACGGAAATATGTGATTTAGCGCCCCGTGATCCTGCATAAGCGGATGAGGTTACTACTTGAATACAACTGGCGTCAGTGTCATCCTGAGCGCATCACATATGAGCAAGTTGGCCCCCACAGACAGTCGTTTAAAAGTTCCCACAACACTAGGAATAAGTCTCGCTACTACACTCGATGACTAAATCTAATTAGGTGTCGCACCAATGTTTCTTCTAGGGTAGACTGTTTTCGGGGGAGGGGAGGGAGGGGAGCTCTGCCGGAAGAAACAATGTGTCACACCCATCACCCGTGCAGTAATGTAACCAGTAGCTCCAAGAGCCCCGTGACTCCCCTGACACCTGGGCCGTCGCCGAGGGATTTACAGCATGCCTTGACGTGTCTAGTTGGTAGCAGTGGCGTAGCGAGGTCGGGTGTCACCCGGTGCGGCACTTAATGGTGTCACCCCCCCAGAGGCATAGAGACCCTTCCCAGGGACAAACTTTCAAATTTTTGATTTGCACCCCCCCCCCCCTCAAACTTTCGATTTGCACCCCCCCCTCAAAATTTCGATTTGCACCCCCCCCCCCTCAAGTTTTTCTCTATATATTTTGCTATTTTTTGCCTTGGTGTCACCCCCTAAATGGTGTCACGCGGTGCAGTCCGCACCCCCCGCCCTCCCCTCGCTACGCCCCTGGTTGGTAGTGTGGACAAACCCGCGCCCTAAGATCCAAGAAATGAACTGCTGACATTGTTAACATTTAATTCAACTTCTGGAAAACAGGGCACACGGTTAGTAACGTTTTGATGAAAGCCTCAGTTTAGTTTGTTGGACTAGATTTAGAAAGGGGCCAGCTCTGTGTTGGAAAACCTCTGATTTATATATATATATATATATATATATATATATATATATATATATATATATATATATATATATAGGGACCCAAAAAAAATTCTTCGGGGGGGGGGGGGGGGGGGGGTTTCTAGTTCCGCCACTGATACACATGACGTTGTTGTGATTAGATTTAATTGAATTTTTTTTTTCAAAACCCGATCAGGCCAGAAATGAGTATCCTATGTTCGTATTGTGTGTTTATATATATATATATATATATATATATATATATATATATGGGGGGCCCAAAAAATTTTTTTGCGGGGTGGCCCATTTTTTCTAGTTCCGCCACTGACTTTAAACAAGGTGTTTGAGAAAAAAATTAGCAGATAAAAACAGCGGCCATCTTTCCAAATAAAATTTAGAGTAGTTTCCCTTGATACACATGTCTATTCGTATGTATATTGTGTTGATTTCGTAGTTTAATATACATATCTGTCTTGTTTAATAAAAGAAGGACAGAGGGTCGTCTTCTTATCTTTAATTTCAATTGAAATTAAGGCTATGCATGTATGTACATCCAAGATCTCAAAGACTTTTGGGAGGTCCAACATTTATTAAACCCTTTTGTACTGATTATCTTGTCAATTATTAGGTCGTCCATATTCCTCATAAATGACGTTGGACTCAAAATATGGGATGGGGTGAAATATATTTTTTTTAAATGATGAAGAATATATTCGTTTTTGTTAGAAATTGTGATTAAGGGTTGGGGTATAGTACAACTGCATTATGATATTAAATCATCATCTTGCTTTTAGTGATGATAGGGGGAAAGGGAATTCATCGGGAAAAGTATGACGTCATTTATGGGTGATCCATTTAAGCCTAGTTGTTTATTTTGTCATGTTTTTTTTTCTTTGCCTTCTGCTTTCATTAGTTTTTTATTTGTTCAGTAGTCGATGTTTACCCCTCCCCACCATACATTATTAATAAAACAAAAAAAAACACCCACTATATGGTGATATCTCCCTCTAGAAAAAAACTAGATCAACCTATAGTTCGTAGGAAAATAAGAATCTATCACTTATTCGTCTGTTAAAAAAAAAGAAATACGTCATTTTTTCTCAACCCCGCCGATTCATCCCCCACTAAGCACAACATCACATAGTTCGCGGCGCGCGTGACGTCATTTGTCATTAGGCTAATGTTAAAGAAAGAGATACCGCGTAATTAAAAAAAATCAAAACATGCACTATGGTGTTGAGACTTTAGCGACGTTTAGCCTGACGAATAGATCTAAATGACTTTAGTTCGGTAAATTATATTGGTGTTTAATTTATTACAGTGGCATGATGTTCTCCCTCTACTATACAAATTCACGTGCTTTTAATTTCTGCAACCTGCTGCCCTGAGACGTTCGGCTCTAAAAATGCCCGTGACACAACGGCTTCCGTAAATGCATTTAGTCTCCCGGTTCCACCTATAAACTTCGTCTGCCGATTAAGCTCCATGCGAAACTTGTGATTAATATGTGGACACGCTAGTGGTGGTGACAACAGGGACACCCCCCCCCCCCCCAAGCTCAGCTCTTAAAGGTGCTCCGCACTTCATAAAAGACAAAATTGATGTTCAGATATCGACGGACTCGGGCGTTTTGCCGACGGATGTATTCCTAATGCACCGTCTTAGATGCTGTCCACAGCTAGTACTATATTAAACTCAAGCCTATTCTGAGCTCTGGCTTTACATTAGCTGCTGTCGCAATAAGAGTTGATCTTTTGTTATGCCCCATGTCGCGAAACTTGCTGTTTTGTCCAATTTTACCTGCAAGCCAATAATTGTCTTGGACTCTTGTCGAATATCGTTGCCAGGAGCAACTTGGTTTGAGCCTTATTGTCAGAAGTTATTTCATTTGGAGTCAATATAGTGTGGCCTATTTTCGTCGGTAGGCATTTAGTGGCAGGCCCTTTTTTGGCTGGGATGATGTGCTGAGGTTGTTTAACACCTCTAAGGACAACAGGCTTGCAATAGTTATGATCATTTGTTGTGAGTAAAGGTATGCATGAAAACGAACGCTATATGTTCCTCATTTTCATTGAGCACAGCTTTATAAAAGTCTTCTATAATTGACGTCACGCACCCCCCCATCACCCCTTCATTATAGGTCATATATTGCGGTCCTGCGTAAGTTGACGTCACATTAGCATAGCATATGTGACATCGTTTATGGACAACCCCATATCACTCATTTTGGGTATTCGGTATTCAAAATGTATATTGGAGGTTAGGACTTGACATCTACAATAAATGACATCACGCACTTAAGGGGTGGAGTGACTGGTTTTGAGACGACGTTTTACGTGGGAAGTGGGAGGGGTAAGAAACGTTAAACGTTATGTATATACATACGTTTAATACAAAAATACTGAAAAAATTATTTTTCGTTAGAATTATGGCTTGACTTTTTAACAGGCAGGGCAAAAAGGTAATTTTCGACATTACGACTATTTCGTTACGGCGAAAATGGGGGGGGGGGGGGGTTAAGGTGAAGAGAGGTCAAAAAACGTGACGTCATTTATGGTTAAATCACTAATTAAAGCAAAAAAACATGAAAATATGAAATAAAAAAGCAAACAAACGATAACAATTAACTCAAACTAATAAACTAATAGTTAATTAAACATTAGATTAACTTAGATCTAGTATTAGTAGCTCTACAAAAATCGGAACTTCATTAATTCCTTAATTTTGCATCTCATAATAATAATTCTAGAACTGATGATGTTTATTGTCAGTCAATTAAATTATTTAAAGAACAGAAATTTAAAAAAAAAGCATTCTCTGTATTTAAAAACAAGACAATCGCATTCACTAGCAAACAGCAATACATTTTCATACAAATAGAAATTAAGGGGAAATGACTCAAAATAATACTTTTTTAAGATGGCCGCTGTTTTTGATAGCAAATTTAGTATCTGGAACATCCTTGTTAAACGTTAATTTCATGATATTTTTATTGATTTAACCTTAAATTATGGTTTAATATTCAATTAAGCCATATTCATTAGTTACCTTATCCCTACATTACTACACCAACCGAATTGATTACGCTAAAACGATAGATTACCGTTACAATATCATTATCAGCAGCATCTTGAAATAATATTATAATATTTAATAATAGGGCCTTTTGTAAATTGTAGGCCCTAATTTTAAATATCTTTTTTGTGTGTTGATTTAATAATGCAAAATTATATTGAATCTTAATGGTGATACTTGAGAGATTAAGTAAAATAAATTTAAATAGTAAATAGCCCGAGGTCTCGCTTTTGGCCTATCCCTCTGTCATAATCTGGATTAGAACCGCCTTGGGCTTGAACTAGATTCTAGATCTAGCTCCCTGCCTAGCCTAGCAGCCTAGCAGTAGCACACTAACTCTAATAATAGTAATATACTATAATACTACTAGTAGATTCTCTAGGCCTAATCTATTGTTTTAAAAAAAAACAACCTCAAACTGTCTGCTAAAGTTTAGGGCTGAATTTACAAACAATCTAGATTTTCTAAATCTTGTGAAAATCTACTAGACTCTAGATCTATTTAAAACATAAATTAGCTTACATAAGCCAAAAAAACAGTGTAATCGTCGAAGAGACCACAGATTGATCTACCCGGATTGTTTAACCGGAAGAAAACAAGTTTAGCTATTTATAATCACTCCGCATTACTCAGAATAACAAGACTGCAGCGAATGGTTATTTCCCGGACACTGACAACTGACGTCATTCCCACCTTTGCAAAATTAACATCTATTCAGTGTTTCTTCCAGACTTTTTTCTCCGGGGGGGGGGGGGGCACTTGAAATTTTCGGGGGGGGGGGTATACTTTCTTCGGGGGGGGGGGGGGGCGGACACTGTTAAAAGTATATATTTTCTATATAAATTTTAAATTATATACATTTCATTTTCATTTCGTTTGGGGGGGGGGGGGGTGGTAAAAATTTTTCGGCGGGGCTACTAAGCCCCCCCCCCCCCCCCCCCCGAAGTCCGAAGAGATGCCTGGAAGAAACTCTGCATCTATTGTTAGGGCCCACTGTACGCTTTTAACTTGACGAAAGCATTAGATCTAGATCAAGACTAAATCTACTTAGATCTATATGAGAATGTTTAAAACCTTTGAGAATTGTATTGGTTCAAAAGCACATACTTACCAAAATAGAAAAACAAGTAATTAAAAAAAGTCTAGTGACAATTTTAGCGCAATTTCCTTGTGTTATCTAAAAATAGCTCTGTCGTAGCGTAAATCAAGAGCAGGGTTAGTAAAACCATTGGTTAGTTATTAAAACGTTTTTTTATTAATTTTTTTTCAGTATTTTACATGTTTTATTTACAATAGAGTAACATGACTAAAAACCATTGCGCGCCCAGCTACCGAACGTGACGTCGCAGCCATTGAACGTGATGGCGCAGCTATTGAACGTGATGACGCGTGTGGTGTGGTTGCATAAAATGCCTACTAATTCGGTCCAAATTTTAATTAATTCAAAAAAAAATTTTGTGACCAAACGAAAGGATATTTTTGAAAACTTTCTTCGGCAATATTGTTCTAAATTATGGCAGAAATCGATTGGTACATGTTTCAAGTCGCTAAGTGGTCTGGTTGCCGAGATATGGGCCAAAAACTGCATTTTTTTCGAGTTTTTGGCTTTTTTCGGGAAATCCATGAAAGAAACCCGGAATTTTTATGGCCTGTGTTCATCCTCGTAACTTGCTTAACATAATTGCTTTGGAACTAGTCCTCGATATTGCTTCGTTGAGGAGGAGATACGACTTAAAGCTGCGGACACACATCCATCCATCCATGATCCATCCATTCATCCATCCATTCATTCCCAGAAAAGACGAGTTAATAAACGCAATTCTCCAGAATGGAAATTGCGCTAAAAAAAAGGGGGAAAAAAGAGTGTGGACCTTTTGGCTTATATAATTAAGGAGCTGACCCGCGACGTAGCATAGGGGTCATCCATAAATTACGTCACGTTTTTTTGGACGATTTTTACCTCCCCCTCCCCTCCGTCACACGTCGTCACAAAAAGTCAGACCCCCCTAAAATGACGTCACACCTCAGCCTATAACCCCCCCCCCTCAAAATTGCAGTTGAATTTTTCTTAAAAAATCAAAATTTTTCCGAAATCTTGTCAGAACTATGTCAACAGATTATTTTCATCAATTCCTATTACAATTTATCAAAACCGTTTTCTAAAACGCGAAATAACGGCTAAAAATCGTTTTCTAACATTGCTTTTTAATAATGCAAAAAAGTGGCGTCACACCATCTGAACACCCCCCTCCTCCTCGTCACACACCATCACAAAATTACGGACCCCCCCCCTCTACGAGTGTGACGTCATTTATGGACGACACCATACCCCGCTATTTAGTTGTTTTATTTCCTATTTTTCAGTAATTCATAATTTGTGAATTCGACACTACCAATGCTGCGACGGAAAATATTCTGCTTTATAACACTATCAGTAGCTTCACCCCCCCCCCCTCCACGACCACGCGAAAGCAGCTGTCCGTGACGACAGTACTTTACAGGCGACAATTAAAAGATCAAACAGAACTTGTAATTACCTCCCCTTAGTTTCAAATCGTTTTAAACAATAATTTATCTGCCCCTAATAGTCGTCACTAATTCGACCTGGCACTACGATTGTAAACAGCTCTCCAGCTAGAATGTTGCAATCTGAGTTGAAAAATTGAAATTACTGAAGGCCTAAATGAAAATTTACATACATTTAAACAGAAATGGTACGCGTTGTAAATGTGATTCAGTACAAAGTTAAAACAAAATTATGTTCATTATGGAGTTGAAGTGTATAATCAAGATTGAAACATGCTTGCGGATGTGCGTATCTGCGCGGGAAGGCTACATGATATATAATATGCAGCATTTAAAGTCAAGAGTCTAATCAACCCAAATCACACAACGCTGTGCTAGTAATTTTAAAGCCTGTTTCAAGTGTGGTAATGCAGAGGCGTAGCGACCCTCACCGGCGCCCGGGGTAAACTTTATATTAGGCACCCCCCGCTTTTACACACACACACACACACACACAAACACACACACATATATATATATATATATATATATATATATATATATATATATATATATATATATATATATATATATATATATATATATATGTTACCGAGTGTATTGACAACGCCAACTGTTACCGAGTCTATTTACTTGTGGTGCCAAACGTTACCGAATGTATTTACTCGTGCTATCTTTGACCAGCACACAACATCGACCACAATACAGATACTCGGAAGTACAGGTTTACATTGATCTCTTTATTACATGAATCAATAGAAATGCTCCACATAACAATGCATCAATGTTCCACAAGAATACAATGAATCAACTGACCCCCACTGTCCTCACTAGTCCTCACATATCAGAATGCACGTGTCCATCGTTCCTATCCTCACAAACCACTACACGTCCTCACATATCAGTCTTCAACTGGGTTCTGCCGTTCTCTACCAGTCGTGCCGTCCTATTATATTCCACGTATTCGCAATACTTCCTATTCGTTGCATCAGACTATGAACTACGCAGCGGCTTTGTGTTCGTTATCAATCCACACCCTGTATCAGTTGCATCAGCCCAGTTTGGCCTTGATCGTGTCTTTAGTTGACAGACTGTATTGCGTTCTTATCGTCTCTAGTAACTACACTAGTTACATCTATACATATATATATATATATATATATATATATATATATATATATATATATATATATATATATATATATATATATATATATATATATATATATATATATAAATAAATATGCCTGATCTGAGTTAGAGGGTGGTTTGTAGCAAGCGCTAATTTGTTTATACCAGCCTTTAATGTTCTATTTTTGGAACGATCTCTGTTGTGATATGGTAAATAGTAGGAGTATAAGTTTGTTGGAATAAGGACATGCAAGTGAATTACAAGAGCAACTTATCAGAAACATTTATTGTACTCATTGGAATACGACATGGGTATTTCGTTGACTGGTTGACGGTATAACGAAACAAGCTAGAGGAAACAAACTGGAATCCAACGGATTTTAACAGCTCAAAGTCTTGGATTTATCAGATGTGCACAGCCTTCTAGCACACAGTCAACAACAAATGCAGAGCTAATTGTACTTATTGAAGAAGCAGTGATAACCTGTTTAATGATAGTGGCACTGCCCATAACGTTCTGATTAGAATCAGCAGCAATAAAACGCGTTTTAACACTTAAAGACAATGTGGAATTCAAATGCACAAAAAAAAAAAAAAATCAATCAGGATCTATAGCTAAATGTGAAGTCTCTTTTACTGTATGGTTTGGAGCTAGGTTACAGACAGTGAAGGATAAAATAACAGCCTGGAAAAAGTGGTGGTTAGGGCACAATATCAGTAAATAACATCACTAAGCAGATGCTGGTGTGAAGTCCACGGGGAAAGAGGAAGAAAAGACGACAAAAAAATGGGAATAAAATCGTTTGAAATCGAGATGGGGGAGGTTTGATTATTAGGGTTCTATCTTCATAAAAATCAAGCGAATAGACGAAGTGTTGGCTACGCCTATGCTCCTTAGGAAACTGAAACGAATAAAAAGAAGAAAATCAAAATAGCTTAGAGCAGTGGTTCTTAACCTGGGTTCGATCGAACCCAAGAGGTTCGGTATGTCAGTCTCAGAGCTTTGGCGGAGGTCAAGACACACATCCGACATGTGATTCACGATAAGATTGTGTCAATGTGGACGTTAAAACTATTAAGAAGCAGAGTTTCTTCAAAGCATCTCTTCGGGGGGGGGGGGGGGGGGGGGGGGGGAATAGGGGAGGCTCTTTGCTCCCCCCCCCCCCCCCCGAACGAAATGGAATTTATGTAGAAAATATATACTTTTAACAGTGTCGTCGTCGTCGTCCCCTCCGACAAAACATTTCAAGTGTTCTCTCAGAGAAAAAGGCTGGAAGAAGGGTTCTATGAAGGCGTATACGAAAAGAGTTTCTTCCAAGCATCTCTTCCAGAGAAAATGTAAAGTTGTTTGAAAGAAACTCTGCAGGTTAGGCGTGTCAGCTTATTGTTGGGGGGGGGGGGGGGGTGTCGTTGGGTTACCACAGATGTGTGTGGTGTGTCTGCGGCTAAGTGTCGCATGGCGGCACCCACCCCTCTCCCAGTCTGACCACAGCCAGGTGCCTCCATCTAGGTGACTCTCGCCTTGGCCACCAACATATAGCAGATAAAGTTCATGTTGAAACTCTTGAGCTATGGCCGGTGATTTAATGGAAGTCCATACCAGTGATGCTGTATTAGTGTTAGCACCAGTTGATTTTGGAATTTTTTTTTCTCTACCAGAGTTCCTTCCAGGCATATCTTCGTGGGGGGGGGGCTCTGCCGCGAGATGGAATTTACATAGTAAACATACACTTTTACTAGTGTCCGCCCCCCCCCCCCCCGGAGAAAAAAAGTCTGGAAGAAACACTGTTCTCTACTACATGGGATTCAAACTCGGGATTTTTTTTAGAAACCATGAGCTTTACCGACCCGACTTGTAGAATAGGGTACCTCACAAGATAGAAAAATTAAAAAAAAAAAACAAGTCAAGTTATATACTAAATAAAATCCCCCTTGTTATTATGGTACGTTCATGTTCTCAAGTGCCACACGCAGGCCTTACAGTTTCATATTTTGATACAATGATCACTAGGCCATTTAGCTTAAGGGTGTAATTCTCTTCTTTAAACTTATGCTGACTAAACACACGGAATTTTATTTTGGCCAATTCTAGCCGGAAAAAAATACGCTATACATAGAAAAAATACCACCTTAATTCGCGGCGATGTTTTCGATGGTACTGCGCAAGCGTGTGTTTACAAACCAACCGCAGAACCTTAACTTTAGCCCCAACCCTAGCGCAGGTTTTAATTGAGTTTCGTATTTTCTGCCGAAACATCTTTTTCCGAGTAGACACTGCGTTTTATTTTAGAAGGCGCACATCAAACATAAAGTTTTATATTTACATGCCCCTGGCAGAAATGTGATAATGGTGGACAAAACGAAACAGACAAGGGGAAGTAATACGATAAAAGTTGCCTATGATTTGAGCCATTTCATTGATATGAGTATGAGCTCTAAGTCTCGGTAACACCGGCGATTATGTTAAGTCCAGCAGCTATAATACCGAGTTCCTCTACCCAAGTGAATTTGAAACTCTAGTTTATCAGGAGAAATAACTAGTGTTCCAGGATATATAATATGTAGGCTGTCATAAAAGGCAACATCAACCTAACCCCCCCTCCCCCCCGCAATGTACAAAAATGGGTCTGACAATAGTGATATAGAAAGGGGGTTCTTTGTGATATGCTATAATAGAAAGCTTTGCATTTTTACCTTTAAAAAAAATTAGTTAATTACTTTAACTTTAAGTAGACTTATTTTCAAATATTTATCAAAATTTTACCCCCCCCCTAGTTATCAGACATGTCACACATTTAAAACTTCCATCTCTCCCACCAAATAAGACCATTCTACAGTGATGTGTGATGTGAACAGACTATGAATAACATTATTATTGATATTCTGGGGTCTGCATGGTCGAGTCGGTAAAGCTCATGGTTGCTAAACCGAAAAGTCTCGAGTTCGAACCCTTCGGGCAGATGAGGCTCTTTAGCTGGGGACAGCCACTCTTCAAGGAGAGACAACTCCAAAATTAAACAACTACTGCCTTGTAGTTTGTTCTTGGTTGGACAAAGGCTATGGAAGCAAATCCAAAAAGAAAAGCAGGCTGAAATCGGAGTCAATGGCCTCAATGGCGCATAACCAGTTGACACGTAACGCTTAATTGTGTTGGAGGCGTGGTCGTGTGGCAAAAAGCTCATGGTTGATAAATTCGAACAAAGTCTTGAGTTCAAACGCACTGGCAGATAAATCTCGATCCCCTTCAACACTAATAATTAAGAACGAAGAAGAAGAAGAATTGACATTCTGAAATTTTAAGAGGCTTCTTGAGCCTATTAAAATAATACCCCATGTATATGGGGTATATAGGGATCACTAAGGAATGAAATCAGTTATACAGCCAATGCTGCTATTCTGTCACTTTAACTAGACAATTACATATTTCTTGCACCTAAGTTGGTTACCATAAATAAAGTCAATTCTATTTCTGTAATTGCATTAATTGTACATTGAGATGGAATTTTTAAATTTTGGCATTTCCAGTTTTGATAAGACATACCATATAGTACTATTATAACATACATTAACAGGGGTAAGAGTACTGTACTTAATAAAAACAAATATTTTTGTTTGTAATTTAGAGCTTTTAATTGTAATATATATTTGTTTCAACATTCTTGTAGACCCAGAAAAAAAAACTAACAAAATTTTTCTTAATGCCTAGATGAAAACATAAATTTGTTTTAACCTTTTTTTTTCCACTGAAACTAAATATTTTATATTTCTAATAACATTTATACTATTTTAAGTGCTAGACTAATATTGAATAACTATATTAGGCATATGTATAAAAAAAGCACCCAAAATATTGTGTAACAATGTCCAACATACGTTAAATACTTTACCAACACACCTTTTGTAAATTCTGATTACATCTATTATATTAATAAACTAGAACTTTCAAAATAAAGCCTCAACAATACTTTTAAATTTTATAATGATTCAGTTTAAATAACAGTTTGAAAAAAAAAGCTAGGTATTTATTTCAGTCACTACATGATCTTAAAAAAACGCCACAATGTAATAGCAGTTAAGACAATCCTGGTAGACAAGTAAAACAAGATTTACCAAAGGAATAACCACAAGAATACATCAGTGGTCCTGCCTGCCACGTGTGATCTATACACACACACTAGGAGTCTACACAAGTGAGTAAACACAAAGAGAAGCATACTAATTAGTGGATTACCATGGCAACAGTCTTTCATAAAAACAGGATATATAAGCAATTAGAGATGGAAAAGTAAAGCAATACATTGTAGTTTTGATCACTATGAAATAATTCATTCATACTTTTTAAAACCCTATCATCAATACATAAAATGCAAGTAGGTTTATGTATTAGTTACTTCATGTTTGCAGCATGCCAAGGAAAGCAATCAAAACAATTTGATATAAATTATAAAATCTGAAGACATTTTAGCATTAAACATGAAATCCAGTTTTAGGTCCCTTTCTGACAAAGCTTGAGAACACAGGAAGTTGTTTAGCCGTTCATGACGACCTTGATGAACTCTGAAAATAAAACAAAACAACAAGAATATAATGAATTAACTTCAGTGTAAGTTCTAAAAAACCTGTTAGGTACAATACATGGAACCTACATGTCATTTGACTTGATTTATATAATGAGGTACAAGTATTTCCAGTATTTTTAGAAAAAAAAATATTTTTCTTTGTTTTTTTAAAACCTAATAAACCAAGACTTAACTTGATGTGGACTCATTTAAACCAATAACCTGACCTCACAATGTTAACTGAGATAAAGGCTAACTAGATTTACCTTCATAATTTACAGTCTTGACTGACATTATGAACTGAGATAAAGGCTAACTAGATTTACCTTCATAATTTACAGTCTTGACTGACAATATAAACTGAGATAAAGGCTAACCAGATTTACCTTCATAATTTACACAGTCTTGACTGGCAATATGAACTGAGATAAAGGCTAACTAGATTTACCTTCATAATTTACACAGTCTTGACTGACAATATGAACTGAGATAAAGGCTAACCAGATTTACCTTCATAATTTACACAGTCTTGACTGGCAATATGAACTGAGATAAAGGCTAACCAGATTTACCTTCATAATTTACACAGTCTTGACTGGCAATATGAACTGAGATAAAGGCTAACTAGATTTACCTTCATAATTTACACAGTCTTGACTGGCAATATGAACTGAGATAAAGGCTAACTAGATTTACCTTCATAATTTACAGTCTTGACTGACAATATAAACTGAGATAAAGGCTAACCAGATTTACCTTCATAATTTACACAGTCTTGACTGGCAATATGAACTGAGATAAAGGCTAACTAGATTTACCTTCATAATTTACACAGTCTTGACTGACAATATGAACTGAGATAAAGGCTAACCAGATTTACCTTCATAATTTACACAGTCTTGACTGGCAATATGAACTGAGATAAAGGCTAACCAGATTTACCTTCATAATTTACACAGTCTTGACTGGCAATATGAACTGAGATAAAGGCTAACTAGATTTACCTTCATAATTTACACAGTCTTGACTGGCAATATGAACTGAGATAAAGGCTAACTAGATTTACCTTCATAATTTACACAGTCTTGACTGACAATATGAGCTGAGATAAAGGCTAACCAGATTTACCTTCATAATTTACACAGTCTTGACTGGCAATATGAACTGAGATAAAGGCTAACTAGATTTACCTTCATAATTTACACAGCCTTGACTGTCCTCCTGTCCTGCCAACAACTGGTCACATTCCTCCTCGGTTAACTTCTCACCTACAAACAGGAAGAAATTCATCATACAACTTAAATAAGCCAAAAGCTTGATGAACCAAAATGTTAAGTAAATTTTAAAAAATACATCCGGTTGAATAGGGGTAGTGAATTCATTATTTATTGTCACATTTTAAAATCTTAATTTATTTTCCCCTATCACCAAAAAAAAAACAAGCAACCCCCGTATTTAGTTTTTAGAAGCATTAGCTTAATTTTTTAAAGAAATTTAAGTTACATTTGTTCACATTCTTTAAGTGTCTTATTTCAACCCCAGTAAATGACACTATTTATTAATGAGCCTTATGTTTATTATAATAACTCTACACAGCTTGGCTTTAAAAAAATGGTTTTTACTATTCAAATTAATTGAACGATAGAGCTCTAATTATGAATGATAAATCAAAATTAATACCCACAAGATAGTTGACCAGCTAGCACATTACTATTTCACTACTTCTTAAATTATACTAAAACAATGAGATCTGAAGCAAGAATTGCATCTGAAGTACAATATAACTTGTTTTGGAAATTTAAATCCATTTAGGAATTTCTAGTACAAGATTACTTACATGACAGACTGGATGTTTTTCTTTAGGGCTCTATTTTATTATTTAATTATTTAAAGTTTATTTATTTCTAGTAATGTTGCCATTCTTGATTATTTTATCTGTACCTAATTGTGTAGGCAAGTAAAATAGTTGATTTTTTGGGCAAGTGTGATGTGGAAAACATTTAGTAAGAGGACCTTTATTAAACCATTCAGGTTGGCTAATATTTAGATTGGCATGACAAAAGGGTCCAGACAGAAATCATAATCATAGCATCTAGTGCCTGTACCACAATAACCTTTAAGTATTTTAGCAGAGAGAGTAAGAACAAAAACATTGTACTGACAGAATAAGAAAAATATAAAAAAATATTTACAGAAAAAAAATATGTAAGTTACAGACCTAGTGAGGTCAGGATATGTCTGAGTTCAGCACTTGCAATGGTTCCATTCTGATCCTTATCAAATACACGGAAACCTTCAATAAAATCTTCCAGAGCTGCAACTGGGCGATTCTTACTTATTGTGTTCTGGATGGGGAAAAATGTCTCAAATGAAATTCTGGCATCTGAAAAGATAGGAAATTTGTATTTATCATAAACAAATTTAAAATATATCACCAATTAATTTAATGTTACAATTACAATCAAAGTAAGCCACACTAATGGTTTATATAGCAATCAACATTACTTTACTAACATAGAGTAGACATTGAATTACCTGGATTGGATGAGTATCCACATTTTCTAATCTCCTGCTCTGTTGGGTTATGGCCCAAAGCTCTGAGGACGTCTCCTAGCTGTGAGGCAGCAATCTTTTGATCTCCACGGTGATCAAATAAATCAAACAGATCTTTGCAGTCATTGTATTCTTCTTCTTTTTGCTAAACAAAATATAGAAAAGAGTAATCAAATTATAAATTTGTCATGTAAGGTCTAATAAGCAGAAATTCTGTGTGGATCTCATAGTTATGTTATAGTTTGCCCCTTATTTAGGCCTATAAATTTATAATAACATTTATTTTATTTTGCTTTTCAATAATTCAATTTGAACAGGCTGTTTTCTGCAACAACTAGGCCTATTCTTTAAAAAAATCCAAAATGTAGATGTAGGGCCTAAGCTCTGTTTAATGTGTTTATCACCCCACCATATCTTTTAGATTTAGTAGATGCTAGACTACGTTATTAAGTCATTTCATTAATTAACTAATAGAAAAATCTAGACTCCAGTAAGTTTTAGTCAGTTTTTTAGACTTTAGTTACAGTTTTTTAGGCTATTATAATAGGCCGATGCTAGCCAGAATAAGATATGCGGCAATGTTTTCGATGGTACTGCATGTGTTTACAACCGCAGAACCCTAACACCAACCCTAACCCTATCCCTAATCCTACCCCTAACCCTCATTCTAGCCCTAACCCTAGCCATAGGTCACTGCGCATGCGCAGAGCTATCTTTTGCCGACTAAGTGAAGACGTTGGGGAGAAAAACCTTCCGAGTAGTCACTTCGATTATAATATTAAGTTAACTTTAGTACTTTGTCGACTTTATCAATGATAAAGTCGACAAAGTACATGATAATATCATCTAGGCCTATTTAACTATTTATTCAATTTATTCTAAATCTTACTATAGGCATTCCGACTTCCGCTGTTTCGATTCGGTATTCAACATCCGGACTTTTCGATGCAGTCTTTATAAAAACTCGCCCTTTTCCGAAGAATGCCGAATCTCACTGTTGGAATCGAGTTTTTAGAAATATTCGATATAGATATTCTAGTGTAGTCGTATTATATGTTTCAATTAGAAAATTACGGCCATTATGACAATCTTTAAGCCGAAATCGATCGCACGATTCTAATGAGTTCATCTCGCGAACATGTCCCGTACGGTGCTGTCACATTTTAAATAAGTTTACGTATTAAACACATTATAAGTGTCTTGCCATTAGTTGTAAGTGTCCATTAAATAAACAAATATTATTATAATAACGGTTTTATGGCACTTACTACTTCTGCTTACGAGTTATCATACATGTCAAATCCCCGAGCTAGCGCTTCGGCCTTGACAACGCCATGGCGTCGGTTTAGCACCGCATTACCTATTATCGATATAATACGCGCACTAATGCCAATGACGTAGTTTTCGAAGTTGGAAAGCATTTAAATTGTGGGTGGCACTGTTAAAACTAGATAAAATACGTTGATCAAGTTATCTATTAAAACCGACAGGCAAGAAGCTTAGGCTTACATTAAATAATAAATAGTGTTAAGCATTTCACACATACCTACTTACTTAGATTTAAGGCTAATACTAATAGCCTTTAATATACTATTATACTTTATACTATAAATAAGTTATAGGCCTATTTCTTAGTATAACTAATGTTATATACTATAAGTATCGATTGATAAAGTAAGTCTGGGCCTATTATTGGTTATGATAAGTAAAGAAGCTTGGTGATAAACTTATTTAATTATTTGTAATAATTATGCTTATGACATTAGTAAATAATAAACAAAAGGTGCAGCAATTGACATGGGGGGGGGGGGTACTAATTAATAAGGCAGTGAATTTAGAATGACATGAAAAAGGCATGATAATTATTATTCATAATAATTTAGGATACAATTTTTACATTTAATAATTAAAAGTAACAAAAAACAAATAACAACAAACAATACGGATTTAAATCACTGCATGTTGCCAATATATATATTCATATAAGCAGATAGACAGGGAAGCTGTAACTTCTGATTTGGTACAAATTAACACTTAGCTTAATACACTTTTACAAGAATTTAAGGTTTTTCTATTGATTAGTAATTTAGTTGTACCAAAATATCAATAGGGTCTTATAAAGGCCCTAGTATATTAAAGTAGTTTCCCTTTTGGACCTGTCAATCCATCATCCATAAAGCAGCTGAAGTAGAGTTTATCTGTTTCTTGACCCATGCACATGAAGTGATGGTGTGGTTAGCTCTCTGCCAAGCTATCTTTACTTTCCCTTGGGTCAGGTACTCATCTGAGCTTGGTGGATGCTGCACGCTGCACAGACAGACTCGTCTGAGATCTGGACTTAAGACTTGCATGTTAGTAGTTGAGTGCTTTAACACACCATCCCTAGTTTTATTTTTCAGCATTCTTCTTATTACATGCTTCAGTATCAATAACCAAAATGTATCCTATCTATTATAGTAACATTCTGGACATACGTCCGTTGCAGTCACTATAATTACTATAAAAGGGTGCACCACCCTTTCATGGGACTTTTTAATTATATGCAGTCATACTTAATATAATTTTTTTCTATATTTCTATTGCCCCCACCCTCTAGCAAAGTTTCAATTTTAATATTAAAAAAAAAACATAGACTTTCAGTCTGCATATTGACCTATATAGAACAGCACCCCTCACTTTAATTTGACTTGATTAGTTCTAATTATCCTTCATCAAATTTTGATTTTACTTTCATATTTCTATTGCCCACACTCTCTAGCACTAATGTGCAAAGTTTTATAATTATATCTCAAATAGCAGCAGTGGTATGCAAGCCTAAAGCCAATCACACAATTAAATCCGATGTTACAGTGATATATAACAAGTTTAATACATAACTTTAAAAATTCATAAAAAAAAAACTATTAGGCCTAGAATGATAAATTTGGTATTTTTATCAATGGGGTATATTATAGGATTAATCTGTGTACATTTTATCATTCTATGGTAATTAGGAAAAATATCCCAACATTCCTAATCTTACTAGAAGATTCTATTCTAAACGTCTAGATCTAGAACTTATTTGGCTTATTACCTATTTTACTATATTTACATATAAACACTAAATTTTAAAAAAGGCGTTGAAAAGATAAAAAAATTCAAACCAACAACCAGAAATGAAAAGTCACAGACCACTGAACCGTGAACACTGTTCGAGTGTTCATCAGTGACCAGTCAGTTGAGTTGACTGACTGACTGAGTCAGTATGTTCAGTTGAAAATTATACATTCAGATCTCTAGTTTAAGTATCTTTAGTCAAGATTATATCATTTTATTTATATCATTATATTTAGCTTCATTCAAAATAAGATTCTTAATTCGCACAACAAACCTGCATTTTATTGTATTTATTAACTTTCCTAACACACAAAAATAACGAAGGTGCAGAAATGGGTTTGGCTCGCCAACTTCCGTGTTGATGACGCCACCGAATTTCCGGTCACCCAACGTACTAAAAATAGAACACTATCTCAACTTTTAAATGCAGTTTTATGTATTAAAATGTTTATCTCTCAATAAACAATAGTAAAAGTTATCATTCTATTAAGAAAAAGCTTAGTTTTAACAAATTAAAAAGTTTCTATGCTTTTCCATAGGTCTAGATATTTTGTATTTACATATTTATCCAATGACTCATAGCTGCAGATTTACGAAACAAATTATACTGTCAACAGCTGTTTACAACATTGATGCACTACCAAATATGGTTATACCAGTCTTTAATCTAAACGCAGGTTATTACTTATTTAAATTGAGTAAATCCAGAGAAAATACTTCTGTTTAAATTTAATCTGTACCAATTATACGCACCAGATGTACTTAATCTATCCTACTTTTTTCTCGTGTGAAGCGAAATATTAGTGGAAGAAGGTGGAGGTGGGGAAGTGGAGGCGGGGTAGTGTTAAAATACACATTGAAAAAAAAAACACACAAAAAAAACAAAACACAACAACAAATGGTTTCCACCTCCGATCGTTATTGTTGTCACAGATAAAAACGTGTTTTGGAAAATTTGCCTTCACGATGTCTGTAAGAGTAAAAAAAAAATGAAACCTATTTTTTTTTCCTGAAATATTATAATTTAGGAATCAATTTTAAAATGCTCCTGTTCGATTATTTTAGAAATGTTGTATGCTTTCTACGAGATCATTTAAAGAAGTAGTTTGAACGTTATTCCGTCCAGAGTTTCTTCCAGGCATCTCTTCGAGGGGAGTGGAGCCCCCCCCCCCCTTTTCAAGAAAGTCTATTGCCCCCCCTTTTCAAGAAAGTCTATTGCCCCCCCCCCCCCCCCCGGAATTTATATAGAAAATATATACTTTTAACAGTGTCCGCGCCCGTCCGCCCCTGAAATTTTAGTACGCCCCCCGAAAATTTCAAATGCCCCCCCCCCCCCCTCCGGATAAAAAGGTCTGGAAGAAACACTGTTAATTTGTTATCTAGGAAAAAGCATGGGCTAATCACAACTGAAGGATCACCGATGTAATATACAACACAACTTTCAAAGTTAACGAAGAAAAAATAATTTTGAATTTCTAAAAACTCATTATTTATTTATAGTTTGACTAGGCATACTGCCTAGCTTCGCTTAGGTTAAAAAAACATTTGATAATTTGAATACTAATTATTTGGTGATGGATGAGGTGTGGAGTGCTTAAATTTAAACAGTAATGCTAATTTTAGAGAAGATGTTGTATGTTGTTTAACAATCGCTTTCAGAGCAAAAATTAGAAAGTACGCAATTTATAACTAAAATGGAATTAGAAATGCAGAGGTTCCATTAACAGTATATCTCATAATTTATATTACATTGACTTTAAAAATTACTTTTTTATTTAATTATGATACGTAGCTTAATTAGCAACTTATTAAATTTAAAACAAATGTTATACTTTGTCGTTTTCTGTTTCTGTTTAAAATAGTATACAATTATTTAAAAAAATTAATTATTAAAAAGGTTACCTCCCTTGAAAATGGACCGAAAGACGTATTTTTTTGTTTACTTTTTTAAAAAACAGTTACTATGCTTATATTAAAAAATTGATATATGAACATATTTAACGACTACAATGGATTTTTCCGACGTGAATAACGTTTTTTTTTTTGTTACCCTCCAGGGTCGGTCTACGACCTCAAATAATATTAAGGGGATCGTTCGTCAATTTATTTATATATATCTCATATAAGGAGAATTTCACTCGCGGTCATCTTTTAGTCCTGCTCGAGGGCTTTGAGTCTGACCAACAGTTTTTCCATACGGCCTAGTCAGCTATAGAAGTGTATGCAAAACATTAGCTTGATGTACAGAGGTTAAGTAACCTAAAACTTGTGTTGGAAATTCCCTGTTTTTCCCATAAAATACAAAGATTATATTGGGAAATACAACTGGTCAGTTTTGACCCCTTTACGAAGTTTTCCCAGATATGCCGAGTTTTTTGTGACACCCCCAGGCATTCTCCTACCACCTCACAAACTTTCAAGGGGGGTCGTCGGAGGAAATTTTTTTTCGTAATATAGCTCATATAATGAGAATTTCACTCGCGGTCACTTTTTAGCCCTCGTCGAGGGCTTTGAGTCAAACTGACAGTTTTCCCTAAAGGTCAAGCCATTGACCTAAACGTATGCAAAAAATTAGCCAGATATACTGAGTTTAAGTACACTAAAGTCTGCGTTGAAATGACCCTCTGTTTTCCCCATAAAATACAAAGATTATATAGGGAAATACGACTGGTCAGTTTTGACCCATTTCCCGATTTTTCCCAGACATGGCAAGTTTTTTGTGACACCCCCAGGCATTCTCCTACCACCTCACAAAATTTCAAGGGGGGGTCGTCGGAGGAAATTTTTTTTCGTAATATAGCTCATATAATGAGAATTTCACTCGCGGTCACTTTTTAGCCCTCGTCGAGGGCTTTGAGTCAAACTGACAGTTTTCCCTAAAGGTCAAGCCATTGACCTAAACGTATGCAAAAAATTAGCCAGATATACTGAGTTTAAGTACACTAAAGTCTGCGTTGAAATGACCCTCTGTTTTCCCCATAAAATACAAAGATTATATAGGGAAATACGACTGGTCAGTTTTGACCCATTTCCCGATTTTTCCCAGACATGGCAAGTTTTTTGTGACACCCCCAGGCATTCTCCTACCACCTCACAAAATTTCAAGGGGGGGTCGTCGGAGGAAATTTTTTTTCGTAATATAGCTCATATAATGAGAATTTCACTCGCGGTCACTTTTTAGCCCTCTTCGAGGGCTTTGAGTCAAACCGACAGCTTTCCCTAAAAGTCAAGCCATTGACCTAAACGTATGCAAAAAATTAGCCAGATATACTGAGTTTAAGTACCCTAAAGTCTGCGTTGAAATGACCCTCTGTTTTTCCCATAAAATACAAAGATTATATAGGGAAATACGACTGGTCAGTTTTGACCCATTTCCCGATTTTTCCCAGACATGGCAAGTTTTTTGTGACACCCCCAGGCATTCTCCTACCACCTCACAAAATTTCAAGGGGGGTCGTCGGAGGAAATTTTTTTTCGTAATATAGCTCATATAATGAGAATTTCACTCGCGGTCACTTTTTAGCCCTCGTCGAGGGCTTTGAGTGAAACCGACAGTTTTCCCTAAAGGTCAAGCCATTTACCTAAGAGCATGCAAAAAATTAGCCAGATTTAAAGAAGGTAAGTGCCCTAAAATCCGTTTTGAAATCACCCTCTGTTTTCCCCATAAAATACAAAGATTATATAGGGAAATACAACTGGTCAGTTTCGACCCCTTTACGAAGTTTTCCCAGATATGCCGAGTTTTTTGTGACACCCCAAGGAGTTCTCCTACCACCTCACAAAATTTCAAGGGGGGTCGTCGGAGGAATTCTTTTTTCGTAATAGAGCTCATATAAAGAGAATTTCACTCGCGGTCACTTTTTAGCCCTCGTCGAGGGCTTTGACTGTAACCGACAGTTTTCCCTAAAGGTCAAGCCATTGACCTAGGTGCATGCAAAAATTTAGCCAGATATACTGAGCTTAAGTACCCTAAAGTCTGCGTTGAAATGACCCTCTGTTTTTCCCATAAAATACAAAGATATATATATATATATACTAGGCATACTGCCTAGCTTCGCTTAGGTTTTCAAAAACATTAGATAACTTGAATACTAATTATTTATTGATGGATGAGGTGTGGAGTGCTTACATTTTAAACAGTAATGCTAATTTTAGAGAAGATGTTGTTGTATGTTGTTTACGATTTGTTGTCAGAGAAAATAACTGAAAGTACGCAATGTATGACTAAAATGGAATTAGAACTACAGAGGTTCCATGAACAGTATATCTCATAATTTATATTACGTTGACTTTTAAAATTATTTTTTTTATTTAATTATGATACTTAGCTGAATTAACAACTTAAATTTTTACTAAAACAAATGCTATACTTTGTCATTTTCTGTTTCTGTTTAAAATAGTATACAATTATTTGAAAAAAAATTTTTTAAAAAGGTTACCTCCCTTGAAAATGTCATTGTTTACTTTTTTTTAAAACAAACAGTTGCTATGCTTATATTAGAAAATACAATATATGAACATATTTAACGACTACAATGGCTTTTCCCGACGGGAATAACGTTTTTTTTTGTTACCCTCCAGGGTCGGTCTACGACCTCAAATAATATTAAGGGGATCGTTCGTCAATTTATTTATATATGTATATCTCAAATAAGGAGTATGTCACTCGCGGTCATCTTTTAGCCCTGGTCGAGGGCTTTGAGTCTGACCAACAATTTTTCCATACGGCCTATTCATCAATAAAAGTGTATGCAAACATTAGCATGATGTACAGAGGTTAAGTAACCTAAAAATTGTGTTGAAATTACCCTGTTTTTCCCGTAAAATACAAAGATTATATAGGAAATACGACTGGTCAGTTTTGATCCATTTACCGAAATTTCCCGGACATGGCGAGTTATTTGTGATACCCCAAGGCGTTCTCCTACCACCTCACAAAATTTCAAGGGGGGTCGTCGGAGGAATTTTTTTTTCGTAATAGAGCTCATATAAAGAGAATTTCACTCGCGGTCACTTTTTAGCCCTTGTCGAGGGCTTTGAGCGAAACCGACAGTTTTCTCCAAAGGTCAAGCCATTTACCTAAGAGCATGCAAAAAATTAGCCAGATGTAACGACGGCAAGTGCCATAAAATCCGTTTTGAAATCACCCTCTGTTTTTCCCATAAAATACAAAGATTATATAGGGAAATACAACTGGTCAGTTTTGACCCCTTTACGAAGTTTTCCCAGATATGCCGAGTTTTTTGTGACACCCCTAGGTGTTCTCCTACCACCTCACAAAATATCAAGGGGGGTCGTCGGAGGGAATTTTTTTTTCGTAATAGAGCTCGTATAAAGAGAATTTCACTCGCGGTCACTTTTTAGCCCTCGTCGAGGGCTTTAAGTCAAACCGACAGTTTTCCCTAAAGG